CTTGGTAAGCAAGGGGAGGGCGCGAAAACGCTGCCGGAACAGCCGAAATGGCTGCGCGCAGCATTTTCGCGCCCTCCCCTCGCTTAACAAGGGCGCGAAAACGCTGCGGCCGGTCGTTTCGCCTGTTCCGGTGGCCATTTTGGACCCGCCGGACAGCTGAATGCAGCCATTTTCACGCCCTCGTTCAGCGAGGGAAGGGCGCAAAAATGGTTGTCGGCCATCGGAGAAACATTGCTGAATGGTGAGTACAGCAGCCGATTGGAACGCATTAAACACTGTTTAATGTGTTCCAATGGGTTTTTCTGCCCCGCTCAGCGATGTTTCACACAGCGAGGGTGAATCCGGGACGGATTAACGTTGCTGTGCGAGGCACCGCTGTATAAGTAAAATAGGCTAGACCAGAGACTCAAAAGCTACTTTAATTATTTTATATCTCACATTTACAGCTCAAGGTAAATGACAAAACAATTTTAAAACAATACGATTTCAAAAAACATCAACAAAGCCACACAAAAATTTCAATTAACAAACCTGAACTGAGTCATGTCTTAGGTGCTTCAAAACATAATCGTTTTTTTCACTTGATGTTGAATCACCAAAACTGAAAATGGGGGATTGCAGGGTGGGCTCAGATCTCCTGCTGGTATGAAAACTGACTAAACTAGACAGTGCTATGGTAAGCAACTAATGATGCCACCAAATAGTTAGGAATACAGCGTTCTCCTTACCACTTTCTCATGTTCTCCAGCTGAGAGCAACACAACATCACCCGCATTGGCCCGAACTGCTCTGATCAATGCCAGTTTTTGCTCTTCATTCAAGAATTTATCAAGTCGGGACTTCATGCTACCATCAGACCTCAAAATAAAGTGCAACAGTCCCTGTTCAGGAGAAAAGGGCAGACTGAAAACTCTCATTCTTCCTGTTTTGGACTAGATCAATGGCCAAATAAATGTTTGTTACTTGCCAGGGTTTTTAAAAATATATCTATATTCTTCCTAAAAAAGACACAGAGGTATACAAAATCAAAAGTAGGTCAGTTTGCACTGCCTCCCTTCACAATATGAGAATGCTCAGATGTTGTTAGAATAAACCTAACTTAACCTGGGTCTGTTTATCTCCCCCCATTCCACCTAAAGCATATTTTAGAAAGTCACCAACTCATTATGGTGGCCCCCATTCTCCGCAGTACATTATGAGTGGAGATGTGGCAAGCTTTTTTTTTTTTTGGACTTATATACCGCCCCCTAGCGCTACAAGCACTCTCCGGGCGGTTTACAATTTAATTATACAGGCTACACATTGCCCCCCCAGCAAGCTGGGTACTCATTTTACCGACCTCGGAAGGATAGAAGGCTGAGTCAACCTTGAGCCGGCTACCTGGGATTTGAACCCCAGGTCGTGAGCACAGTTTTAGCTGCAGTACAGCGTTTTAACCACTGCGCCACGATTCCTCCTCATGTTCAGGAAACTATTAAAAAAAAACTATTTTGACAACTGAATCTTTTGGATGCTGTATATTAGTATTTTAATTTTCTTGCTTTTTCTTTTCCTTTTTAAAATTATTTTTTAGATTGCCATATTATATGCATTGCCATGTGGGGTCTTCAAGATTTTTAAGTTTTACAGTAACTGCATGCACTAATGGGGTAGTATATAAATCAAATGAATAAATTCTACCACAAAATCAACTGGCTCTTTGCGAATGTAGTTATAACAATAGTCTAAGCCTAGAGTGGAAGAATGGGAGAAATGGGTGCCATGAGCATAAAGACTCCCCTCAAACAACAGAGATGCGATATATTAGAAGTTTCCTGCTGATGGGTGACGGCAGGCTGAGATCAACCCATGCCTCCCACATTCTTTCCTGCTTTTATTACAAAAGGCCAAGACAGAAGAAAATGGCTCCTGCTTCAGTATAGCTCAGGTTTTGGACAGTTCCTCCTCCCTTTATCTATTTTTCTTCATTACTGCCTCTCATTTCTTCAGGTTGTTCAAGGCAGCCTAAATAGATCTTGCAGATCTCAGCTGTAGCTTTTATGACAGGCCCAGGTGACATAAGAAAGCTCGCCACAGAGAGTAGAGTGGACATGGGTCACCCCCAGTTCTAATCCAGCTCTCTAGCCACTGCCATCTTATACACCTCATTTGTTCATTTTTATTGTTCTATGACTGGTGGTTTGGGGCATGATTTAATAATACTATTCTGAGGCACCCAAGCCAGGTACATTATATAGCATTGCCTTCATGGGTCAGCTTAAAGATGACACTGTGCTGCATTTCATCTCCAGCAGGAGGCAACCTCTGAAAGGCCACATGTGGTGAATAACAACGGCCCCTCTGTGTCCCTTGTCCCCAGCGTCAAATACGCAAAGGCTCTGTTACTGAAGAATGTTTTATTACTACTACAGGTACAGTTGACCGATCTCTTTCATGTTCCTGTAGATTTCATAAGGACACCAGTCAAGCCTTGCTGCACTGCAGCTAAGACCCTTACGTCCTGCAACATCCTGCTTTTCACAGTGGTCACCTAGATGCCTCTCCTTTAGAGAGAGCAAATGCTTTATACTTGCATTCTCCCTATCCTTTTCAAACTACAGTGACCTGGTGCAATTGGAATTCCTTCTCTCTCACTGTTGGTGGCAAGAGTAAGGTCACATCTTAGGCAGATCATGAGATATTCCATCAGAAACATGTGTCTTACCTGGTTAAACTGGGATTTTGTCAATTCATTTAATGACTCCAAATCTTTATTCTGAAGATATTTCTAGAGAAAATGTTAAAAGAAAAACATGAATAATTGAATTAAGTCTGATATAATCTAACTGAAATATCTATAGTTTGTGTGTTGTATTTCATTTTATGCATTTCATTTCAGACTTGTGTTCTTTTTTTAAAGAGGTGTAATATGTAACTGACATTTGCATGTTTTAAAACTGAGGAACATTAGTAAACTACAGAGAACTGTTGAACCGCAGTCAGGAATCAAACAGTAACACATGGCATATACAGGAGAGTAGTCTTTGCTCAGCAAAACAAGGCCAAAAACAGACAACACCTCAATGCAGCTGACAAAAAGTATGAGAGAACACCCGCTCATGCAAGGACGGGCTCCTAAGTAAAGGGCAGTGAATGCCAAGTCACATGCACCTCTTAGGTATGTATTGCCAGGACTGAAAGGTGGTGTAGAAGAGAGACGGAGAAGCAAAGAGTAAGAAAAGAGCATCTCTTTTATTGTCCATTAAGCCTTCCTCTTCACCTTCCAGCTACCTTTCAGAAACCTGGGTGAGTTCTGTGTTTCCAAAACATATTTCTGTACCTTAGAAACATGGTGGAAAAGAGAAAAAAATATTCTCAATTCATTCCCATCTTCAAACATGTCCTTTAACGTATGAAGAAATGTTATTCCTGCAGCATAAGACAGATCTAAACTGATTCTCTGAGGACCCAGCTCCTAAAAACTTTCACCTTCCTGGCACAGACATTATTTAATGATATTTAAATTTATCAGTTTACAAAAATGTGCCACAATAGTACACAGAATTTATATATTCAAGTACTGCTATTAAAATAAATATATTTCCCTCCTTGAAAAGATACAGTATGTGAGTTCTATTCAGCTTTCATGTGTTCTTTAGTATATACAGTATGATTTCCTTTTCAGATGGAAGATACAACATCCCACTATAAACGACAACATCTGGAAAGGAGGACATCCCAGTCCCAGAAAGAGAAACTACCACCACTTACCATGCCCTGGGGTATACAAATGGCTCTGACTGTGCTCTGTGGCTCACTGAGTGATTTCTGTAAAAATTCAACTTCTACGTTCCTGAAGATATCTGTGACTTCAACAAGCTGAACATTGGAAGTAAAAATACAGATAAACAGAATTTGGACCTACTATAGGTAGAGAATAAAAGAGGGAAGCAGCAGCATGATTGCAAGAATTGGCCAGGGCAAATTAGAGCTCAACGTGGCCACAAAGGGCTCCGTACTTCATCCTACTGTAATTTAAACTCATAGACTCATCCCTTTATTCATGCATGACCTCTGCTGAGATGAGCACAAGCCAAGACATAGGCAACAGAGCTCTTATTTGTGTAACAGGCATCCTGGCACATGATCTGTGTCTTCCTGGGGAATTAACCGATTTTGGGATGACACCTCACACCCAGCTGTGAAAGGGCTCTGCAACCTTCTGTAAAGTGCTTCTTCCCCTCCCCCCCATTCCTACAATGTGAACAGCACCAAAGTTTCAGCGGTCTTCTCCTCTTACACAACCTAAGTTCCAACTATTTCAGTCTCTTTCAGTTCACAATCCACTGTGGTTTTCTAAAACAGCCAGTCACAGCTGAAAGTGTGCAATATGCCAAGCCAGCCCCATGTATTTCTATGAAGCACATACAACCATGTATGCCCTCTGCATTAATCTTTTATCTCCATAAGGCTGATCAGAGACTTTTAAGTTTTTATTACACGGAAACTGCATGAAGGAGTCTAAGCCAAGATGTCTGCTCTCTCTGCATAACTGTGGCCTTAATCACTACCACTCACGCAATCCATCTTTTTGAAGAAGGTAGAAAATGTGAAGAGCTCAATACTTGCAAGCAGTGTTTATATCAATACTTCAGCTGAAGCTTGTTGACTCTAAGGAAAGCTCATCTGTGACAAGAAAGCTCTCCTTGAAAAATCCCCAATAGTAGCCTTGTGCCCCCAAGGTCAAAGGAGAAGTGGGAAGAGGCATTCAGAGTGATAGACTTACATGGCTCTTGACTTATTCACGAATTGGGATATTATCTGTGGCTGCCTGAAACATAATGACATCACAGGGAATCAAGGCCATTGTATCTGATGAGGCAAAATAAATGCTTTGCCCCGTGGCAGACAAAGAGAGCAGAAAATCGAGCATGGGTCCCTGCTCACTGGCGCTACCGTACTGTTGGGTCACCCACCTGTCTGGATGCTGCTGTTAGCTACCCACTTATTGTGCTTTTGCTACAACATGCTGTCACATTGCTGTTGTGTTCACTTGCACAAGCGCATGATGAGTGTGTGTCAAAGTTGGCTGTGGGGAATCTAGTCAGGCCAGGCCAGGCCAGGCCTTCTTCTTACCTGAAATGCATCAGTCCAAGAATAGCCTGGTTAAATTCTAGCTCCACCTGCTGTCCATAGTAATCGTTCCATCCAGTTCTTCTTTTTATCGGTTTTCTTAATATGAACTGTTTAATTCATTTGACCATACAATATTTGTATGTTTTTGCACTTTGAGAACAGTACATTATAGGAAATGTGGTACATAAATAAATAAAATAATAATTTGAGATCCTGTACACCACTGTGGGCAGATGAAATTATAGTGGGTCATAATTAGGATATTGCTCACCTTTGGATCTTTAGTATTATTTATTTATTTTGGCCTGCGGTTTATTATGCATTTTCACATGAGAAGAGGGAACAATGCAGAAGCACTGTTTGAGGGAGCTGGCACTCCTTTTTGGGAGCTGTGTACTTGGAAAATGATGATGCTTTAAAAACCTGAAAGGGGTGTGTGTGTGCTTGCTGACACTATAGAAATCTCAGCAGTTTTATGTACAGAGCCAGGAATTTGAGTAGTGTGGAAGCAGAGCTTGGCTATGAACCAACTCAAAGCCTTCAAAGTGCTTGCATGTTAAGTGGGAGCCAGCCTTAGAACTGGGCCAAAAACGACTAAAAAAAATCTGAATCTGGCATTAGATGGATGACAAAGTGGCAGATTTTCCAAAATATTCACTCATGGCATCTCATTTGTCGGCCTTCTAAACTGAAATTAAATCCACTGCAGAAGAGAGGCTTCTATAGAGTCAAACATGCTAAGGAAAGGCCAGAAGCCAAGACATGGTGTAATATGGATAGATGGGAACATACCTTCATTCCAAAGCGAGTGTCTGGCTTATCAGTCCCATACATCGCCAGCGCTTCATCATAGTTCATGGAAGGGAATGGTATTGCAATGGGCCCTCTTTCCTCAGGCCAAGAATACTGAAGCAAGCCCTCTACTAAAGCCTGAATTCCAGCTTGGTCTACAAACGACATCTCAATATCAATCTTTAAAATCAAAAGAGGCAAAAAGTAACAGTCACAGGTTACCACTATCTCCATATTTAAAATTGATCTAAAGACATAAGATATTGAGAAATGAAATGACAGGTTACTTACTTGTAATTGTAGTTCTTTGAGTGGACTTCTGTAATTCACACCCTGGATAATCTGCGCATGCGCGGAGCCTCATCGGAAATTCTAGAACTTCTGCGATAGCAAAGATACATTAGTGCAGACCCCTCCCCCTTGATATATGTACCTTGGCGCCCAGGCTCTCCCTTCAGTTAGGTCAACCACAGCATACAAATATATAATAATAATTGTTTAAATTAAGGAATGAATGTAAAGAATTGAATAACTTTCATTTTCTTTCACTTTCAGTTTCTCGCAGATGGAACAATAGAGGCTCTCAACGCGGCGGTTGAAATAAACTGAAGGGAAAGCCTTGGCGCCAAGGTACATATACCAAGGAGGTCTCCACAAATGCATCTTTTTGGTATTGCAGAAGCTCTAGAATTTCCGATGAGGCTCCGTGCATGCACAGATTACCCAGGGTATGATTCAGAGAGGCCACAAAGAAAAACATGTTTATATCCTGGTGCGAAGACTGCAATTTCATAGAACCAACAATTCTCAAGGAATAGAAATTTGCAGCACCACTTTCAAAGTGAAGCATATAAAAATCTTCAGGTTATAGAGATGTGTTTGACATATTGCAACTTCAGCATTATTTCACGACTTTTTGGCCCAATTTCTTTATCGGTCCCCTCTGACTTCTGCTTACCCACCACTCCTTTTATAACAGTTGCCAGAACACGAGTCTAATTCAGAAAAGGCAAATCATAGATTAGGGTATGTTAAAGACTAACATTTTTGTTATTCCATGTTTTATCAGACCTATCTCAAGAAGCGGCTCCTACTCCATACAAAAGGCATATGTCATGTGTTAGCTTTTAAAGTGCTACATCTTTTTCCATGTTTCTCGTCTTGCAATGACAAGATTTCTTGTCCAAACTACCCCATCAGTTCTGAGAAATTAGAAATATACAAGTGTGGAGTCTTAACCCTGGACCTTCACTGCAACTTTGAAATATAAAAATATATATTAGGATTTAATAATTATATAAAGATAGCCATGAAAACAGTCATCACCTGAGAAGCACAGACACATCTTCCCCTATCCATGCTTCTCTTGAAACAGGGACCAATTAGGTCACCTTGGATGTTTTAATTCCGATGCCACCCCAGTGCAATGTTTTGTCCAGGACATAAGAGAAATTTATAAATCTGTTGCACCGCACCCTGTCTTAACAACAAAATGAACCACATCAAGCATCAGATCATGTGGGAAGGTCCCTTTGTCATGAAGATCGTTGTGATTGGGTTTTGATATGTAAATTTTAATGTTGTTACATGACTGAGACATACATCCCATGCCCCTATTTGTTTCCCTCAACCCAAGGGTCCACGCTGGCGACGTTCCTTCTTTCTCTCTCGCTCCCACCAGTGGATTTCTTTTATCCACACTGTAAAGAACTTTACTCTGAGACTTGCTGCCAACAACAGAACGTGTTTTATTAAAGGGTAACTCAGAATCACAGATGGTTTTTATTCATTTTCATTAGATCACAATCATTGAATTATACAGTGGCGCCCCGCAAGACAATGTTAATCCGTTCCATTGAAATCGTTGTTTAGCGAAAACATCGTCTTGCGAAAAACATTTCCCCATTGGAATGCATTGAAATCTGTTTAATGCGTTCCAATGGGGAAAATATTCGTTGTTGTGCTAAGATCACCCATAGGAAAGCCATTTTAAATCACTGTCTTGCGAAGCATCGGTCCCGAAAACACCCGTTTTGCAAAGATTGCCCATAGGGAAGCCATTTTGCAAAGCCGCCAATCAGCTGTTAAAATAGTTGTCTTGCGAAGCATCGGCCCCAGGGAAAAAAACTCCCGTCTTGTGAAGCACGGTCCGAAAAATCATATAGCGAAAATCGCCCATAGGAAACACTGTTTTGTGAAGCGCAATGGCGATCGCAAAACCTCGTTGTCATGCTTTTTCGTTGTTTTGCGGGGTAATCGTCTTGCGAGGTACCACTGTATTTTATGTTCCACACTAGATCACTTCTTGTTTACTTATTTTCAATTTAACCAGTTTATATTTATTAGTAACAATTTTCTCTCTATCTCTGACTATCTCTCTCTCAGCAAACCTCACTCCTTCTTCTCTCTAACTCTCCAACTGACTAACTAACAAACCTCTGCCTCTCCTGTCTTCTCACTGGCTTATGCACATGAGGTTCCGCTGTGATTGACAGGAACGACTTGGGCATTCGTTACAATGACCTATATTCAAAGTTCTCCTTTTCCATAACCAGTGAATGCTAAGTGTTTTATTGTACAGTAGTGCCTCGCTTAACGATGTAAATTGGTTCGAAAAAAACATCGCTATGGGAAAACATCATTAAGCGAAACACCATTTCCCATAGGAATGCATTGAAAACCGGTTAATCCGTTCCAATGGGAACGGATTGCCGTCCTTAAGCGAAAATCCCCATAGCTTTTGTGCAACAACATTGTTGGTGGCTCCATCATCTATTTCTCTCTGACATTTGACTGGGCCAGCTAGAATGTTCATTTCTCATGCCTTTGTTGTCCTGGGAGCCCACAGAAATCAAGCAGTTTCTGGCTGCATCTCCATCCCCCACTTACGAGTCTGGGCAAGTAGCCTTGTGGCGCAGTGGTTAAACCGCTGAACTGCAGCCAAAACTGTGCTCACGATCTGGGGTTCAATCCCAGGTAGCCGGCTCAAGGTTGACTCAGCCTTCTATCCTTCCGAGGTCGGTAAAATGAGTACCCAGCTTTCTGGGGGGGGGCAATGTGTAGCCTGCATAATTTAAAAAAAAATTGTAAACCGCCCGGAGAGTGCTTGTAGCGCTATGGGGCGGTATATAAGTCCAATAAATAAATAAATAAATAAATAAATAAATATAAATTTATGTGAATGTTTAGTTAATTGTAGTGATCTTAGATGTATGTGCAGTCTTCTGGCATTCTTGTTCAGCCTTTGACTCCTATTGACTTCCTACTGCCCTGTACCTCTCTTGACCCTGCAGCCCTGGCTTACCTAAAGCCGTATCAGCTGCCTCCCTCAGGATGGGAGCAGTGGTCTCTGTCCCTCACGAGAGTTTATTTTCATTCCCTCATCCTCCACAGGGCAGATACAGCACCTTTCTCCCTCCAGACTCAAAGCATATGAGCAACTGTTTGTGACTTAAGACAGCATCTCTTTATGCTACTTAACCCTTTGAAAACTGCCTCCCTCTTCCCCACAGAGGAGAAACACTGCTTCCATGACTTTTTGCATCTTATTAAAGTGTTAACCCTTCCAATCCTGCTGCAGGACCAGGCAGGACAAATCTGCAGTGATTATGTCTGCTCTGCTCAGGCTACTGAACTTTTGCTTTAATAAGAGCTCTCATTCTAGCCTTCAATCAACTGCTGTCATTTATACTGATTTTAAATGTGCTCTTTAAAGTTGTTACTGCTTCGGAGAACTTTGGAAAAAACATGTTTTCCTGAAATCTGATGGCTCTCCTGTTTCAACTGCTAGCCCTGCACTCTGCTCTTTCCTTTTATTCTCCCCACTTCATGGCTGTCTGTCCTGGCCTTGCCCATGCTTCCCAGCAAGACTTTGCGAGTCAGGGAAATGTCAGGGAAACAAATTTGCTGCTACTGCAAAGCAAGCTGCTCACTCCAGACCTCCCACCCCTTTCCTTGTCCGTTGCTCCTTTTTCCTCTGAATTTCACACTGATCTTCCCATTCTTTCAGATTTAACGGACCTGCAATACTTTGCCTCAGACAGTGCAAAGGTCATTTGGGCCAAAGCTGGGTGATTTTTTGCATCTGGATCCATAATCTAGAGGGTGCTGCATTGTGCCCAAAAGGCTCTTAACAGATTTGGCACAGGCAGCTTACTCTATAGCTATGAGAGCCAGTGGGGAAGAATGAGAAGTTTGTTCAATCAGACAGTTCACTCCTGGGCTGCCTCCTATTGCTAAGGACTTGGCAACACACTGCCATATTTGCCAAGATCACAACCCAGGGCAACCCTTGAAAACAAAAGCAAAGCAACATTCTGGTGGATGAGGTCCTTTCACTCACTCACAACCTGATTTCATTGAAATGGAACCTCAGAGTGGCTATTGTAAATTTTCTGCAATAGCTTTAGGATCAGACAGCTGATTAGAGTACAGCCAGAAGGCATTCTGGATATTATAATCCCACCCATTCCTGCATTCGTATCCCTTCATCTGTTCATTTATTAACCCGGTAACAAGCGTTACCTGAGAAGCGAGAAGTGAACAGGCTTCCAAATGTGGCTATGTAGTCACACAATTGGGTGCTTTGTGCCTGCGCAGATGATCCTACAGAATGTTTCAGAGCTTAAGTCTCGTGTCTCTTCTCTGTAGCACATGCTCCGCCCATTCCCCTCAGTCCCAATGTATCCACTGCTTAACGATTAAATTACAATGGCGAATCAAGAGTGGGGAGTGTGAATACATAGAAGACCACTTGAAGAACCACAGTTATGGGTGAGTAATCTGTTCTTCATCGTGGTCTCTATATATGCACACAATTGGGTGCCTAGAAAGCTGGTATTGACAGTGGTGGGAATCATGCCAAAATAGATGATAAAGCTGACCTACCAAAAGATGCCTCCCTCTGAGCCCTTAAATCTAGTCTACAGTGGCTTTCAAACATTAAGGGCTGTGATCAAGTAGGAGCCCTACAAATTGTCCCTAGGTCTGTTCCTCTTAAAAATGCTGCTGAGGACACTATCAATCTAGCTGAATGGCCTGTAACTTGAAATAGGATTTCAAGTTGAGCTGAACTATAAACTATTTTTATTAACTCTATCACTCATTTTGAAAAGCTTTATGATGAGACTGCTTCACCTTTCCATGGGACATTAGAGCAAACAAATAATCTAGAAGTTTTTCTGAATTCTTTAGTTCTTGTCAAGTAGAATGCCAATGCTCTTCTAACATCAAGAGTGTAATTTTTTTTCTAAATCATTTTTTGATTATGGGAAAAAGGTTGGCAGTACAGTATTAAAGGCTGAAACATGTGAAATAGTAGCACACCTTTAGTAAACATGTTATATCAGTATACAGAGTAACTTTGACCTTATGGAACTAGATATATGGTGAGTCACTTCTTAAAGCTGTGATTTCACCCGCTCTTCTCACAGATGTGATCGCTATAAAAATGCTGTTTTAAAAGTTAACAGTCTCCATTGTGAAGTTGCCATACGCTCAAAAGGTGCCTTTATAATCTGAGTAACTTTAGTACAGATTGATATTGGGATACTAACTTCATTTATTGATAGAATATAAGCTTGAATTTTTTCCCATTTATAAAGGCATGCCTTGTTAGTAGGTTTTCTGGCCTGCTGTAAAATTCTCTTTATTTGGGAACTATTCTCCAAATGGAGTTGTTGGGCATCTGGATACTGAACTGATTTGTCTTGGCAGAAAAAAAGGGGCCGAGGGAACTGTGCAGAGCATATGCATATTGGCCACAGAGAAGAGACATGAGACTTAAGCTCCAAAACATTCTGTAGGATCATCTGTGCAGGCACAAAGCACTCAGTTGTGTGACTACACAGAGACTAAAGTGAAGAAACTATTATTCCCATCATACGTCATCACTGACTAGGTGACAAGGAACAACCATCAACAATCTTCGCAGGGTTGCAAATTCTCTAGACCTGCATTTTCACTACTGATGGTTGGTAACAGTCACAACAACGAGTCGGAACAACTTATAGTGACCCTAATAGGGTTTTTAAGGTAAGTGGGATATTTAAGGAGTGGTTTTATCAGTTCCACACACCCAGATAGATTCTATGGTGAGTGGGGATTTGTACACAGGTCTCTAGAATCCTACTCCATTCCTTTGTCCACTACACCCACACTGGGTATCCCAGTAGACCTGCACTACTGGGCACACATGTCCCATATCCAGTTATGGTGACTGCTGTTGGTGTGGAAGTGCTCAACCAGTGTGGCAAAAACGGCACTTTCCCAGGCTTGTCCCAAATAATGTTTCAACTCCTGGCAGCCATTTGGCTCCATTTTGCTTCCTGGAAAGCTTACAAGCAGAAGGAGGTTTTACAAGTAATATATTTTACCAAGTAATACTGCCATTGTAAAAGACACTTAGCATATTTTAAAGTTTTGCTCTTAAAATTACCAAATATGTACAGTGGGGTCTTGACCAAGTAATACTGCCATTGTAAAAGACACTTGGCATATTTTAAAATTTTGCTCTTAAAATTACCAAATATGTATATGGATGTTGAAAAGGCATGATTCCCAAACTTTTGGAAACCACATCTTCTGGGACTGGCAAATCAAAAGTAACTCACCAACAGGACAGGCAGCACACATGTTAACATGAATCATGAGCAGCACCATCCCATCTTTCCTCAGGATTAGAATTCATTAATTTCGTTCATTTAAAATATAAAATAAACTATTTATTTAAAATAAATGAAAAACAGACAATAAAGATATACTACCTGAGTGAATTCAGGCTGTCTGTCTGGCCTTGAACCTTCATCTCGATAGCAACGGGCAACTTGGAAGTACCTGATATTGGAAATGAAGGCCACAGACTGTAATGGGGCTACAGGAAATTGTAATGTATGCTAGAAGAAATCATGAGGTGTGATGGAAATAAACATTTGAATTGCTCTCCGTCACTGGAAATACTCAGGATACATTTCCGAGGAGAAAAGTCCATAACTCTTCTGTTTGTTTATCTGAGGAATGGTTCAAAACAGGCTTTTGACACATACAGTGGTGAAGGATACATTTCCGAGGAGAAAAGTCCATAACTCTTCTGTTTATCTGAGGAATGGTTCAAAACAGACTTTTGACACGTACAGTGGTGACTCACTTAACGGGCGCCCCGTTTAACGATGAATCTGCATAGCGATTAAGCTTTTGCAATTGCGAAAGGGATTGCATTGCGACGATTTAGATAGGAAAAAATCGCATTGCGATGATCGGTAAACTGTTTCGCTTACTGATTTCCGCATAGCGATGTTTTCCTAACAGCTGATCGGCGGTTCCAAAATGGCCACCGGGTAAAAAAAATGGCCACCCTAAAAAAAATTGCCGCCTGCTGTGTTTTCACGCCCATTCCTCGCTTACCAGGCAGCGAAAATGGCGACCGCATGGAGGATTTTCGCTTAACGGTGAGTTTTTTGCACACAGCTACGGGCGCCCCGTTTAACGATGCATTCCTACAGGCTTCTTTGTTTCACATAGCGACGAATCCACATAGCGACGATTTATCTGGAACGGATTATCGTCGCTATGCGGGGCACCACTGTATATTCCAACTCTGGGAAAGCTCCTTCCTGTGCATAGGGCATGGGAGTTGGTAGTAAAGGATTAATCCCCATTGAGGAGATAATCCATTAGCCTGAGAGTCATTTCAAAGGATTAATTGTAAGGACAGGTATTTGAAGCATCTGTAACATCAGACAACATTCTCTGTAAAGAAGCCCATTAGATGCAGGACAAAGAGACTGCAGCATCTTGAGGCCAGGGGTCAACTCTGTCTCTCTAGAAGAGGCAGATTACAAAAGATACCTTGTTCAAGTAATAGCATGGTTTCGGAATAAGCAACATCTAAGTTAGGAGATTGCCATGTTAGTCTGTCCTAGCGTGTCAGGCAAAAACAAGACAAAAATAAAGACGAAAGCACCATGGTGCCTTAAAGAATAACTGCTATGTCTTAATGTGAGCTTTAGTTGTCTGAAGAAGTGGACTTGTCCAGGAAAGCTCACATTAAAACATTGCAATTAGTCTTTAAGATGCCACAATGTTTCTTTTTTCTTTATTTTTTGTTTAAGGCTGATTCTGCAACCTTGTGATTTGAGTGTATACTGCCAAGAAGCTTTTGAGTAACTTTCTCTTTTTGCTTTTTGTAGCCATTTAATCCTTTTTTATTTTAATTTTTTAAAATAAAATACATAAAATCTTATCCAGGAGTTATCCAGGAGATTTTTTTTTTGCATACAGAATAAATCTAGGTACTAGTTCCTAGTACAGTGGTGCCCCGCTAGACGATGACCTCGCAAAACAACGAATCTGCATGATGAGGTTTTGCGATTGCTATAGCACTTCGTAAAACAGTGTTTCCAATGGGTGTTTTCCGCTGGACGATGTTTGGGTCCGTGCTTCACAAACCGTTTTTCACAAGACAACGATTTCGGCGCTTCACAAAATGGGTGTTTTCAGGACCGATGCTTCGCAAGACAGCCATTTTAACAGCTGATCGGCGCTTCGCAAAATGGCTACCCTATGGGCGATCTTTGCAAAATGACGACGATTTTTCCCCATTAGAACGCATTAAATGGATTTCAGTGCATTCCAATGGGGAAACAGTTTTTGTAAGACGATGTTTTCACTAGACAGCGATTTTAATTGGGTGTTTTCAGGACCGATGCTTCGCAAGACAGCCATTTTAACAGCTGATCGGCGCTTCGCAAAATGGCTACCCTATGGGCGATCTTTGCAAAATGACGACGATTTTTCCCCATTAGAACGCATTAAATGGATTTCAGTGCATTCCAATGGGGAAACAGTTTTTGCAAGACGATGTTTTCACTAGAAAGCGATTTCAATGGAATGAATTAACATCGTCTTACGGGGCACCACTGTATCTTGGCCTCTTACTGGAGTTTGAGGCCAAGAAGACATATATGGGGATGTTGGCAGTGCACATAGCACAGGTGTATAATATACTTCCTAAAAAGGAAGGGGTTGCATGCCAGGAAGTGGAAGGAAATAGTCCAGGTGGACTCAAGGGGTTTTCTCATCCCTGTGCCTTCCTTGGGTTTCCCTACATTAAAGTGGAAAGAATTGAGGTGTAGCTGGGCAGATACTCCTGTATCTTCACAAACTTTACAAAGTAAGTTACTGTGTTAATGGACAGCTGCCTCTTGCTAGGAGCAGGAGGCAATGCTGGAACAGCAGTTATGCTCACAAGTAAAATAACTGCCTTTCCATAGTCCATAACTAGACTGGACATTGAACAGAAATTAGACAAAAAGGGGAAAGAGCACAATTTCAGGATAATGGTGATGGTTTGTGCTCAGTTATGCTTTGTAACTGTGAAGCCCTTAGTCAGAGCTTCATATGTTGGCATGGCTTACTAACTAAGCATGATTTGTTGTTGACACTGATCCCTCCACAGCACAATTTATTTACACTGACAAAGTAATCTTATATTTTGCGGTGTGTGTGTGTAGACTCTCTTGTCACATTACTAAAGTTTGGGCTTCATAGGCGTGCTCAGTTATGCTTTGTAACTGTGAAGCCCTTAGTCAGAGCTTCATATGTTGGCATGGCTTACTAACTAAGCATGATTTGTTGTTGACACTGATCCCTCCACAGCACAATTTATTTACACTGACAAAGTAATCTTATATTTTGCGGTGTGTGTGTGTAGACTCTCTTGTCACATTACTAAAGTTTGGGCTTCATAGGCTGCCTCCATAAGCCCTTAGTCAGAGCTTCATATGTTGGCGTGGATTACTAACTAAGCATGATTTATTGTTGACACTGTTCCCTCCACAGCACAATTTATTTACATTGCCTCCATAGTTCAGTAGTGAAAGCTAGGAAACAAACTTCTGCTCTCCAAAGGAATTGAAAGGGTCTCATAGTATGCCAAACAAACATCCTTCTCTAAGAACTATGAGGAAAGGCTTATGCTAAGTTGACTTTTAGAGATTTTCCTTTACAACCTGACAACTCTCTCATTATTATGGATCTGAGTAGCAGACTCATGAGGGAAATGATTTCTGTAATACACCTACATCTCTTCCCCACAACCCACCAACAGCCTAAAGAACACAGTTTTCACCCTTATTGTAGAAGACAATGTTTCAAAGAAACTCACCTGTCCAGACCTCCAACCATTAGTAGCTGCTTAAATTGTTGAGGACTCTGGGGCAATGAATAGAACTTTCCAGCTTCTCGTGAAGGCACCACAAATTCCTTTGCACCCTGGTATTTTTGAAAAAACATAGCAGGAAATTGCACAGACATTAATTTATCTTTGAATAAAATATATGAGCATTCTAATTCAAATCAATGCATGACAAAGGTTCCACAAAACCATTTTTTACAAGGTCTCCTTGGAAGGTTTAACAGACTTCCTCAATATTTAATTGAAAGTTATACATTGTTTTCCAATTCCTAGGTACAATTTTGCAATTAGGTTTAACAGACTTCCTCAATATTTAATTGAAAGTTATACATTGTTTTCCAATTCCTAGCTACAATTTTGCAATCTTTACAATATTGCCACTGTTAATACGTTGAAAATTAGTTCTTTATTTGTTCAAATACATTGCACCCTATCAGGTTTTGATAAAAACATTATTTTAGGACAAACCTCTAACCTTAAGTTAGTTATTTGTTTCCTTAAAGACCAACTGCCAACATTCCAATATTCCCACCACATATGAAAAGTACCTGTTTTCTAATACCCTTTCCAACACAATTTTAAATAATACCTACTTGATTTTGATTTTATTAATATCTATCTATAAAAATCCTCTTATGGTGAGAGCGGTCAGGCCAGGAGGGACCCAGTGGAGCCTCCTGTCTGAGGATCTTCCCCACATTCAGTCGCTCCCCAACAGTGCAATTGATCAGTCTGGAAAGACTTACAAAAGGAAAGTAAAACCTGACTTTAAAGTAAGGGAACAAGGGCCAGTTTTCTCATCTAGGAAAGGTGGGAAGAAAGAGCCTTTTGTCATGGTAAATAAATTGTGGGATGTCCGTTACCTGGTAGAAAGCTCTAAGAGTGGGGTTAGACCCAGAGAACCTCACTCCTGTGGTTTAAAATTCCATGTGGCTAGGGAAAAGGGCGATGCGTGCCTATGTAACCTGAAGTAGGGTGAAGAGAACATTTCCCCTAAACCTAGCATCAAAGGAGATCTAAAGACTGAGGAATTCATTGAGACGCCTGCCCTGTCTCTGCATCCTCAGAACATACCTGTAAAAGCTACCTTTTGTGTAAAAGTAAAGGTTCCCCTTGACAGTAAAGGTTCCCCTTCCCCTTCGACTCTAGGGGGCGGTGCTCATCCCCGTTTCCAAGCCATACAGCCAGCGTTTATCCGAAGACAATCTTCTGTGGTCACATGGCCAGTGCGACTTAGACACGGAACGCTGTTACCTCACCACCGAGGTGGTCCCTATTTATCTACTTGATTCCATGTGGCTAGGGAAAAGGGCGATGCCTGCCTAGGCAACTTGAAGTAGGGTGAAGAGAACATTTTCCCTAAACCTAGCATCAAAGGAGATCTAAGGACTGAGGAATTCATTGAGACACCTGCCTGTCTCTGTATCCTCAGAACATACCTGTAAAAGCTACCTTTTGTGTGGTGCTGCACAAATGACCTCCTGGCACAGACCTCTGAATAGTTGGCGGGAGCTGGGACAGGTGACGGGAGCTCACTCCGTCGCGTGGATTCGATCTTACGACTGCTTGGTCTTCTGACCCTGCAGCACAGGCTTCTGCGGTTTAGCCTGCAGCGCCATCACGTCCCTGGGCCTTTTGTGTGGTGCCGCACAAATGACCTGGCACAGACCTCTGAATAAAGGTTCCTGCCCGTCTCTATTTGCCACCCTTTGTTGTATTGTGACCACTTTTATCTTAACTGCTTAGACCACCTGATCCATACTCTTTCTGAACGGAAAATGTAGAACAATTGAATTGTTTATCAAACAGTATATATAGGGGGGAAAAGACACTGGAATACCTACTCCTGGAGTCTTCTTGAATAGAGTTGGAGTTTCTACGTCCACAAACCCTGAAACATGGTTTTATATATTTGTGAGCAGGAGAGTAAGTAAAAGGGGAAAAGGAAATAACTTAACATACAGCTACTAACAATTCATCTCTCACCATGATGATTGCAGAGGAATTCTCTCATTCTCATCACCATCTGGGATCTCAGACGTAGGTTGTACTGCATCTGGACACTGCGCAAATCTAAATAGCGATACTGCATTCGCAAAGCCTCATTTTTCTAAGCAAATGGGGAATGGGATACGGTTTTCAAAAGATGCATAATTAAGACTGTTGGTTTCACTCCTTCAATCTATTTTTAAAAACAGAGTAAATGTGATCTTTCTGTCATTAAGAAGTATTCCTGAATGCTGATCATTATTCTCAAATATCTCCTTTGCTTCCCAAGCACTGCTGTTACTCTTTGTTTTTAATGGTATCTGTGAATGCAAATTATGCAGAGTTTGAACAAACCCAAAACTACTACTTTTGTTGTTAATTATAGGCGCAGATCAACACAGTGCTCTTTACAAACTAAGGATGTGTCCCCTGGTCCTGTCTGTAGGCCAGTTCAGGATTTTCAAATGTACAGTGGTGCCCCACATTGAAATAGCAGTTTGGCTTGAAATAGCAGTTTAGCAAAATCGTCATCATGCGAAAACCCTTTCCCCATTGGAATGCATTGAAACCCGGTTTAATGGGTTCCAGTGGGGAAAATACCTCGTCGTCCAGTGAAGATCGCCCATAGGGAAGCCATTTTGCGAGCGCCGATCAGCTGTAAAAATGGCTGCCCTGTGAAGCATGGGTCCGGAAAACACAGGGAAGCCATTTTGCAAAGCTGACGATCAGCGGAAAAAATTGTTGTCTTGCGAACAAACGGTTCATGAAGCACGGACCTAATTGACGTCCAGCGAAAATCCCCCATTGGAATTACTGTTTTGCGAATCGCTATAGCGATCGCAAAAAGTCATCGTTATGCAGATTTGTCATTTAGCAAGGTCATCGTCTTGCGAGGTACCACTGTATCTCCATTTAGTCAGACTCAGCTGTGCCCCTCATCTGAATCAATCTGTGGGTTTGTAAAGTCAGTGCCTCAGAAAACCAAAATGTCTATTACATTGTTTTTTGTTTTTGCATTGATAGATTAAATTGTGTAATTTAACAGACACTAAAGAGAATTAAACCTGCCAAATTTCAGGCAGGTATAAGAGTAACATAGTAGGAACCTTTAAAGTTTGTTGTTGTCTTTTATAAAAAAAGGACAGGAAAGCAAGCGGGAAAGAAGCTGAAAGAAATTGTGCCCTATCCAATTTGAGCTCCAGACACAGATCTGAATCTCACTGTTCAGCTTCTATTCAGACCTCACATAAACTAGGCTGATTTGGTTTGGAATTTGAAAATCCTTCCATTTTTAACAGATGCATGGAAGATAGGAAGTGAAAAGTCTTACAGGAATCCAAAGATACACAACACATAGCACATCCTGAAGAAGTAAGGTTGAAATATCTACCTTAGAGACTTCTTTCACTTCAAAGGGTAGTTTTTTACACAAGTTTAAGACCTCTGCTGTGTCCACTTTCACTTCTATGTCACCTGTTGGCATTTTCTAAAATGGGGAAGAAGTAGTTGTAAAAAATGTAAACGTTTTTACTTACAAGTTATGTAATAGTGTGGTGACCATAACTACTAATATAGTGACCAGGACATAAGTGTGTTGCATCAGTCGACCAATTTATTAATTTAGTTTTCATTAACTGCCTGAATAACACTGACCACAAGGAGACCCAAGCCTTTGTGTCCTTTCTCCATCTCAGAAACCAAGACAGGAGTGGAGACTGACTTCGGCTTTGTGCTGAGCCCATTGTCATACAGCCAAATGGTATTTTGCTTGGTATTTTGAAATAACTAAAATACATCTGAGAAATGTACAAGAAAACTCTTATCAAAGCACATACGGGGTTTGCCTGTTCTGGAGGCCTGGGAACTACAGTCCCTGTCACTCTCACAACAGATTCAACGGGAGCGTCATATAAAATCTTCTTCAAATGGGAAGAAGCCTACAGAAAGATGGAAAGAATGAACATGAAATTTGGGAATGCTTTCAGTACAGAGGCAGGTTTATTGGTCATGGCTAACTTCAGCCTAGCAGTCAGGAGTGAAGACTATAGTCCAAACAAATAGGGGAGACCTATGGTTTCTGTGCTTTACTCTGAAGTCTCCATATAGTTTTTCAAATGGACGGTAGCCGATGCCTGCTCTACCATCAATATGGGATCTAGGAGATTGTGAGCACTGAGGAGAGGCTTCTGAAGTTGGAGTCAAAGAGATGTTCCTCCTTGTGTTGACCGGAGGAAAGGATCTGAAAGCATAGTGGAAATGAAGAAGAAAAGATCTTGTGCATTTGATTACACCACATGTCTTCCCCCCTACTCTCTCACCCCAGAGACCTTCTCCACTTTGGTAACAAAACAGAGTCATAGTGCTTCTTATACATTTTGAGGGGGCAGAGAACTGCGCACTGGACAATATGCAGCAGTAGCAATGAGCCCCTGTCAACATATGGGGCCTGGCCAATGGCAAATTATGCCTAAGCTGGGCTTGAAATTGATCAATAGCCCATGAACAGAGCACTGCCCAAACATCTTTCTACCTGACCAATACAAAATAATTAACTCAAAAGACATTAACTTAGTGACCAAAGGTTGAAAGAGCCAGATTTTTAAAAAAAATATCCTTGAAGGCATGTTGCATATTGCCCCAGCATGAATACAATGCCAATATTTCTGAATGGTATCCAATCCTATTAAAGAGTGAATGTTACTGTGCTACATCTGAAAGCATGTTCAGATGCCCGTTCTGCTGGGAAGTTTACTGAATGACCACAGCTCAACCTATTCTACCCCAAAAGTTTGTTAAGAGGTTAAAATATGTGCAAGGAGAGAAGTATGGAAAACGCCTTGAGTTATCTGGAAGCAAAACAAGACAATAACATAGAAAACAAGAAATTAAATAAGGGAATCCATAAAAATAGATTTCATACAGTTGGATGTTTCCACATTTTAGCTAACAGAAAATTAAGAGGTAAATCCACATTCTGGCACTATAAATGTTTTTTTTAATGAGAGCTGTATATAGGTGCAGAAATGAATATGAGGGAGAAGGTCATAGAGTTTGAGGGAAAATCAGGTGTCAATGCACACATAAAACCTCTTCCACAAGAACTCTGAATCTCGTTTTAGGCACTATCAACCTGACTTCAGATGTATACTCACATTGAGGACTAAAACCTTGATTAATTAAAAACAATGAGAACACAGAATTTGAAGGATTCACCTTAGAGTACTCCATGATAAATCTTGCATGCATACACACAGTACAAACTCAAGAGGCATCTATCAAAATGCAAATATCACAGCTAACATACAAAACAAAAAAATCAAGTTTAGGATTGCAATGTCAGAAGCAGAGGGACTGCAACATTCTACACATCCTTAAATAGTGTCTGAAACAGCAGCTTAATGCAATATAACCAGATAAATATCACCTCTAAACTCTTACCTGGTCCTGAGGTATAAGAAGCTGGGTGAGTCCCTGGAAGTCTCTCAAAATCACAAACTGCTCTTGTCTAGCCACAAGTAATCCAAAAACAGAGTTAAGTTTAAAATATGCCACAGTAAACATTTACATTACAACCACATTATATACAGATAAATAATTTGCTACAGAGTTCCTGGGACTCAAAATGTTGATCTATAGGAAGGACAATCTCTCACCCAAACAATTTTAAATCAGAGATAACATTAGATTAGGCCCTCTTCTCTAACAAACTAGTTTTCTTACTGCAAGAAGATTTTTATGAGGATCATTAGATGAATCTGTTCTCTATGTATTATATGAAATGGTACTTTGCAGGAATCAAACCTTCGCTTGTATTCCTTAGATTCTACAAATACTTTTTGGTTTATTTAAACATCAGAGTGGGTCCTTCAAAGGAGAAAGGCAAGATAAAAACAAACAAACAGTATAATAACTGTTAAAAACAAAAAGAGTCAGCCTCAAACTATTTTAAATCCCACTTTTGTGTGTGGGAGATTTCAGTTTATATGCTTGCACTTCTGTATTCAAAAGGCTTTATTTTGGTTGGGTCTTGCCCAAAATTTATATTACATGTACTAAGAAAAATGTATGCCTTTAGAGAAGCAAGATCAGCCAATTCTGCTACATTTCTCTAGCCACAGTCACCTGGTAATTCTTCTATGAAAACACAGCTGAAATAGTTCAAATTATTAAATAGACATGAACCTACCCTAAAAATTCCAAGCACACTATATTTAAAGAAGGTTCGTGGAACATTGCCCAGCCATCCCATTAGATGTGTCCACCAATACTGCTCAAAATCACAACTGATTTTTTTCTATATTGTTGACCAACCCTGGGGAAAAAATTACACCTTAATGCACTTCTTAATGAAAAGTTATCTGAAGGTGGTTAGAAAGTTAAGATCCAAGGAATTCAAAGTAACTCTAATTAATTCAGGCAGCAATTGAGTAATACAGTACTACATCTATATAATTGCCTCCCATACAGACTGATGTATGGAATGGCATACTCTAATAATGTGTACTGGCTAACTGACAAGGTGCCGCGTGTGTGTTGGTCACACATGCAGTCACATGCCTCGCACATACCAGACACTTTGCTTGTATGTCTGCCAGAACCATTGGGCTGGCCTCTGTTGGAAACCAAATACTAAGCTGACTATTACTTTATAAAGGGATTTAATAGTTAGCACCAGCTACCCCATCATTCTAAATGTGTTTGTTTTCTACTTACCTTTGATACTGAATCCATCCACAAAGGGTGACGTTTTGACCTACATGAGTAGAACGCAATTCCCCACATGTTTTCGTCCGAGTGACAAAACTATTGACATCTGGGAAACAGAAAAATCAATTAAATATAATGAAGTCTATTAAAAAGATTAAGAAGTTTAACAATACAAAAAAGTGCAATAAACTGAGAAAACAATTGTGGCGACCGCCCACGTCACTCATGCCGTTCATACTCATGGGCTGATTTGCAGGAACCTATGAGAGGGCTGGAGGAGTCAGCAGCTACATGAGGCTTGGCTGGAGAAGAGGAGTCAGATAGGGAAGAGACGAGAGTCTGAAATAGAAGCTAGTCTGTAGTAGTTAGAGAGGGTAGCAGAGTTAGGAGTTAAGAGTGTAGAACTTATAGAGAGCTAAAAGAGTTAAGAGTCAAACAAGTTATTAATAATCAAATGAATACATTAAGGTCTGTGAAGAACCTGCTTAAGCAAACTGTAATCAATAAACCTGTGTTGTTCAACTTTATACTCAGCTTGGACCTCAATCTTTCTAATTAAAGGGTGTTGACAGAGGTCAACTGGTGGCAGCGAGGTAAAGGACGTGTTGGGATACTTGCGTGAGCTCTGTGTTTGGTGAAACAAGAAAGAGCCACATGGGTAAACGTCACAATTGGTGTCCAGCGGCAGGATACAAAATAATCCAGTGAAGCAAATGTTTAAAAGTGAATTTTCTGGAGTTGTGGGTACTTGGTCTGTGGTAAAGAAGTGACCTGCTAGAGCTTTTGTGGAAAAGCTTAGTGGTGGGGCTTCTGAACCCAGATCTGGGGGAACTAAAGATAGGGCTGGTTAGCCAGAGAGATAGAGGTGGTTAAGAAAATACATTATGTATAATGTGTATCTGAGAAACTTCTGTTATTATTCAATCTGCTTCACTTCAATAAATAATTTCTGTTCCTGTTCACAAGACAAGTGTTCTGACAAATGTCATTTATGTTGTGCATTGAGGTAATCCACTGGTGGCAGCGAGAAAAAAACGCGATGTGAGCCTTTCTGAGGAAAAACAAGCAGGGGCCACAAGGGTAAGCGTCCCAACAATAAATACAGTGTTAATCATAAAATAGAAAATAAACAAATTTTCATAAGTTTACCAAAGACTATAAAAACAAATTAAGCATTGCTATTAAACATTATTAATTTTAACACAAACCCATAACCCAAACAGAAATAACAGAAAACATTTTTAAAAATCATGAAGAAAACAAAATAAGCAGATACATAAAACTGAAATATAATTACTTACAATAATTGAATATTTAATGCATTTTTCATTTTAGCATGTTATTACAAGTATGACAAGAATTCACTAATAGCTTAGATATTTTCTTTATATTTCTTTATTTCAGTGGATAATAATCCAGTTTCTCAGACATATGGAATACCGTATTTAATATAATTTTATATTAACAGTGCAGGATAGTGACACAACCAATGAGCTTTGATTAACTTTATTGAGCAATTTTTAAGTGAATTATTATGTGATTAATTTGCAAAATTCATTATTTATGTCTCCACCCACCTCACTTGATCAGCCATGCACACTGATCACATAGATTCTAGCCATCTGAGGAAACAGACTTGTTTTATCTTTCTTTATTCATATCAAAATGTTGCACAATTTAAAATTATGGACATATATGGAATACTGGTAAAATTAAAAACAAATTAAAATGTTAAGATAATTAGACTGTTTTTGACCAGATGTGGGTAACTTCAATAGCATTGTCTTGGTCATTGTTAGATTTTTTTGTAACACATTTTTAAAATTAGGCATCCTTCAGTCTCAGACTATGGTAACGTGCTCTGTATGGAGGACTTGGAACAGCGTCTAGTGTGGCTGAGAAGGCCAATTCGAGAGTGACAATCCCTTCCACACTGAAGACAAATACAGTGGTGCCCAGCTTGACAATTACCCCATAGATGACAAAATCACTTGACGATGAGTATTTTGCAATCGCTATAGCGATCACAAAACGATGTTTGTATGGGTTTTTTTTCGCTTCATGACGACTGGTTCCCTGCTTCGGGAACCAATTTTTCGCTTAATGACGATCTGCGGCTCTCAAAATGTTTTGCTGACCTCATTTCGCAAGACAGAGTGCGGAAAATGGCCGCCCTATGGAGGAGCTTCGCTGCACGATCAGGTATTTACCCCATTGGAACGCAGTGACCGGTTTTCAATGCATTTCAATGTTTTTTTACTTGACGACAATTTCGCTTAACAGCGATTTTGCTGGAAGGCATTATCGTCGTCAAGCAGGGCACCACTGTACAATCTGTCCCCTGTCCAGCTCCGTGATTTTGCTGCTTTGGGGACTTCCTCTTTGCCTTGGCCTGCTGGACAAAGGTCTCTTCAAATTGGGAGAGGCCATGATGCAACGCCTGCCTCCAGGCTGAATGCTCAGATGTCAAGGTTTCCCATCTGCTGAGGTCCATTCCTAAGGCCTTCAGATCCTGCTTGCAGATACCCTTGTATCACAGCTGTAGTCTCCCTCTGGGACCCTTTCCCTGCACTAATTCTCCATACAGGAGATCTTTTGGAATCCGACCATCAGCCGTTTTCACTACAAGCCCAAGTCAATGTAGACATCGCTGTTTCAGTAATGTATACATGCTAAAAATTCCAGCTCATTCTAGGACTACTGTATTTGGGACTTTGTCCTGCTAGGTGATACCACAAATGCATCGGAGGCAATGCATATGGAAGGAGTTCAGCTTCCTCTCCTGCTGTGCACAAAGGGCCCAGGACTCACTGCAGTACAGGAGTGTGCTCAGGACACAGGCGCTATAGACCTGGATCTTGGTATATGCCGTCAGCTTCTTATTGAGCCACACTCTCTTTGCGAGTCCAGAGAGCATGGTAGCTGCTTTGCCAATGCGTTTATTCAGATCGACATCTAGGGAGAGAGTGTCAGAGATCGTTGAGCCAAGGTAGACAAATTCATGAACAACCTCCAATTCTTGCGTGGAGATGGTAATAGAGGAAGATGAGCCCATGCCCTGGCCCATGACTTGTGTTTTCTTCAGGCTGATTGTTAGTCCAAAGTCTAGGCATGGAACACATGGTGGGACATAAATTGCACACATATAAGTGTTGCATTAATTGACTTTCTCCACATTAACAGAACATTTGTCCTGTATCCAAGTAGGCCCATTTTACTTGATTATTCTTTGATCTTCCTATTTCAAAGTTTATCAAGCAACTTTCAGGTGGTCTATCCAGAATATTGTCCTAGTGGGAGACATTATTTGACATTCACCCTTTCATCAAATTGTGTTGTTTTTGTTCCCCATAGGTTTACCGTACCCTCTGGTTTAATATTTAGACTTGAGATAAGTGCAAAAAACATTTCCTCAATTCCAGCTGTCATCTGGTTGTGGGGGAGTTTGATGCCCATGAAGTGGATGGATTTTGCCCCGTGTTACTTTATTTTATTTTTTTCATTATTTGCTCTCAACATACTGTGGATTCTGGACTCTTACTAGTCCTTTGGACCAAGGTGGCTAACTCCAGTATTTTTTTCATCTGGCCCCAAAATTATGGAATTCCCTTCCATAATACCTTTGCATGGAACCAGTTGCACAAATTCTAACGAGACCTAAAAACTTACTTGTTCAACCTGGAACCATAGGGGCTGATCATGGAAATAGGCAACTATTGGGATAGAATTACTGTATTTCAATCATTATATTGTTATTATATTTATTTTGATTGTTGTCTTATTAAATGACAATTACTCGCTGTATGTTTTTATCATTGTAGTTATGTTATGGATGTATTGTAACTATTTTTGACTACTGGAATGCACTCTGGTATACAGTGCAATATAAATAAATATTATTATGTTATTATTACTTTTGGAGGGGGCCATGCTAGCCAAATAATAGACTTTTTCAAGGGGAGTAGGTTTCAGGCAGCCAATAATAATATTGCATGATTTGTTAAGAGTTACATCCACTTGTTTGGCATGTGCTGATTTGTACCATAGGGCATAGTGTTACTCCCCAAAACGGGTCCTTTTATCCGGCGAAGAACACAGACTGAGATGCAACTGGACAATGACATGCAGCCAGTCACTCCTTCACATCTTGTACTATAAACTTACTGGTGATCAAATTACTTAATTTATAAAAGTACTGTATCAGGGTTCACAAAGTGCAAAACAGTACCCAATGAAACGAATACGAACTAAATAGTTACTGCACGGGGACAAGCAATTACGATGAAAACTGACAAAGTACTCAGTGATATTTATTTTCTCTGCAAAGTTAAGGGAGAGAGACTCCCAAGACCACATTCCACACGCAGGGCACATGCAGGGCCAACAGCAGCAGCGAAAACTTTTCCCCGCGCACTTTCCTCCTCCTGTTGTTATCTCGAATGTGTTACCAACCTGATGCCAAGGTGCTAGAAGCGCATCTGCCCCACCGCTTGGCTTCTCCTCTGGGGAGCAGTAACGAGACGCCGGCGGGAAGGAAGCGCAGCCGGCCCATGGCCCTCACTCACACGGGAACCGGGACGCCGGCCTCTGGAGGCGGCGGCAATCCAGCTGCCCGCTTCCCTGCTCCGCTTAAGTCTAGTAGTCCTTGCCCACCCAGAGTTCATCGGTCACGTGGATTACTTCGTCATCGAGACCTCTGTCGCCATCCTTAATGTGGGCACGAAACCCTTTTTTTTAATCATTGGCTGTCGGTGTCGGAAACGCAACCAATCAGCGTCTTAGGTTTCTGTAACATGCGCAGAAGAGGCCTGGTGCCGAATTGATTGCCGGGAGGTGGATTCGAGGTTTTTTTTAAAACAAGAATCCCGCCTCAATTTGTATGCAGTATTTTCGGTTGTTTAGGAGGCGGCGAGAAGCGTGTGGTTGATTTTGATGGCGGAGGCTCAGCGACGGGTAAGGCAAAGTGGCGCATCTTTTTGGATGGCTGCATCTACGCGTATGGAACCAACCGCCTTTCCTGCCGGTTGTTTCCCCCTGAGGGAGAAGCGGGGAAGCGTGCGAGGCAATCCCTCAGGAATAGTCGGTTAGGAAATCCATACTTTTAATGTCACCATGCAGAAAAGAGCGGACAGATAAACGTGACTACCTAGTATTCGTAATTCTCCTCGCTTAGTAAATCGTGAAATCAGTACAGTATTTTGTTCCATGTCTGCTAATCTGTGGCGTAAACATGTCCTGTAAATCTAAGGAAGTGGATTATGACCCGCGAAAGCCCCCACTGGAATCTGTTAATCTTAAAAGGCGACACAGTAGTTTTGTGGTGATTAAAACAGATTAACTTCCTGAAATTTCTAATGTGTTTTTGGCTGTTTTGTTTTTTTGCTTTTTTTAAACTATTACAAAACAATTTGAGGGGCTCTAGCAAATAAGAATAAAATTTAAACATCTACTGAAACCTCCCTGCAAAAGAAGCCAGCAGAACACCTTCCTAATAGACAAGGGGGAAATTCCATGGGAGGAGGGAGTTCTGTGGCAGCTAAGAAAAGAAAGAAAAGTAAGTTTTTAAGATGATTGAAGACTCACCTTATGTATGTTAAAAGTTAATGTTCTGAGTGATTATTTATGCATTTATATTTAGTCCGTTCTGTACCTTCCGTATGTTTAATATCTATTGTAGTTGTTGAAGCTTCTGAGGGAAAAAGAAACAGCCAATTTGCTATCCTTCAACACAGACGACCAATAAAGACTCCTAGACAAAATAATCTTTACCAAAAAATCTCCCTAGACAGAATGAAAAAGTAGTCAGTTTTGTACCCTTATAATATAAGTTTTTAAGGTGCCACCATGTTTCTGTCTTTAGGATTAGTATTATTAAAAAACCAGGCATAGTCAATCAAAACTATAAAAACATTAACTGGTATTATACAACAGATACAACTTTTAACCAAAAACCTAAGTATCTGTTAAATATCAGCACAGTATGTTTGCTGTTCCTAATATTGCCGCTAGGGCACTCCATGGGCACAGGCTGGGTTAACAAGGACCATGTCAGATGTTATAGTCACTGGGCATCTGGTGACAAATGCGCTGTAGAGCTCAGCAAACCTTGTTGAGGAACCTGTAAAGCTACTGGAACAACGTAAACGCAAAACAACACTCACCGAAAATCAGTAAATTACGAAATGTTATTACAAAGCAAACCCAACAGCCCGTGGTTTTCAAAAAACAATGATGGAAATCTGGAAAAGGAAACACCCAAGTAGTGGCATAACTGAACAATGATTAATGGGCCATAGAAGGTTTATCACCTGGAGTAAAGTGTTTTTAGAACTGGGATTGAAAGAACTAGAAAAGGTATCAAAAGAAAAATTAACTTTTGGCTTTTGGGGAGCTTTTTAAAAAAATCTTGCCACAGGTTTTTTTGTTTTTGGTCCTAGTAGTGACCCCAGATGTAGCTTATTTAGTGTCCCCTTCTACTTCTGCAGGTATAAACTTCCACTCAAAGCGTGGAGAATATGGGTTGCACAGTTACAGTCTAAATCAGAGGTATAGAAAACTTCTTAGCCCCAGTAAATACTTTAAACATAAACCATTAAAGGAGCGGTTATTCCACCCTGTTCCTTGGAGGACTGTGAGCCAATTGTAAGTTGATGAAGAAGACAGATCAAGGTCCCTGTTAAGTGCCGAACAACCGCCCAAAGGCAGATGGTTTCTCTTAGACAAAGTAAATGCTTTTCTTGCAGAGTAGATTCAAGTACTGTAGATGCTTGCTATCTGCAGCAATGGTGTTGTCTTCTGTTTTTCTTCCCAAGGCTTCAGTCTTGTAATTGTGTAATAAAGAGGCAACAAGTATTTCTAATGTCTCTCCGCAGCTCCAGCGGTCATTACTGTATATCTGTGTTTGCTTTTACCAAGGTTAAAATCATGCCTCCAGTCAGAAGGTAGAATAGGAGCTTCAGCTAAACAAAAACAATAAAACCATATAAAATTATATAAAATAAAGATAAAATCACCACTGCTTAGCCACGAGCGTGCTGCCTTGAGTTTTCTTATTCTGTATAAAATACTTCTAAATGTTGTTGTTACTGTTTTGCCTTGTCATTGGATAAACTACAAATATGTGCAGGAGATGAACACTTCTGACGCCAAGAGAGTGAGTCCTGCTGGAAGAAAAGCTACAGACCATGGAGTGAATTTCACTAACACTGCATGTCTTTCAAGAGGGGTAGTGTCTGTCAGGAGAGGCAACGTATTTAGTCAGACTCCAGCTAAAAGAGTAATACTGCAAATTCCTCACGTGCAGGTAAAATTTCTGTTGATTTTCCATAGCTGGTGAGGTGTTTGACAGTTAAATGGATTTTTAACTGATGTGCCATTTTTGCTAGAATATAAATTCCAAGAGGAAAACTAGGGGACTGTAAGAGCGTACTTACCAGTAAAAATGGAAAGCTCTGTGCCAATTCAAGCTAACTGATAATCAGCACTGGTATTATTGCACTCCTTACGGTTGCAGAAACACAGCCGTAAGTTTTCATGAATTAATGGGTGTGATGATTTGTGTTTTTATGAGACTATTGCACTCCTTACGGTTGCAGAAACACAACCGTAAGTTTTCATGAATTAATGGGAGGCAAAAAAACCCACTGTTGCTATTAGTTACAGAATTTCTGAGGAAACTGCCTCAAAAAAAAAAAACATAGGAAGAAAGAGTGTTTCTGAGAAGCCCTTTTGAAAACTACTGAACAAAATAACAATGGAATAAGCTGTGGACATCCACAAATCTATTCAGTGGGGTTATCGTCCATAGACCTCTGGGAAGCAGGACATTGATACTATACAGATCCCTCCCTCAGAGGTCTTATTTCCATTACACTTTTGAATAAGTATAAATCCTTTAGATTTTCTTATAGAAACAGAGGCTTCTGTTTCTTTTCCATCAGTGATGTAAGATGAAAAAAAAATCAGCGCTTAATTTTTCCATAGGTACTATACAGATCCCTCCCTCAGAGGTCTTATTTCCATTACACTTTTGAATAAGTATAAATCCTTTAGATTTTCTTATAGAAACAGGCTTCTGTTTCTTACCTTTTCCATCAGTGATGTAAGATGAAAAAAAATCAGCACTTAATTTTTCCATAGGGCAAAATATGCCTTTTAAAGCAATCAAGTTTGTTAATAACTGTGAATGGATATCCATACAGTTTCAAATTTGTCTGAAATTCTGTTCAGGCATTCAAAAAAGGGTTCTTGATGTGAAGAAACATTTCTGAGCAGGAAAGCTTTTGCTGGATGTGAAGTCTCTCCACAGAAAGAGCAACTAGATCCATTCATGCCTCTTCTTGTATGAGTGCCATTTTGAGAACCATTGAGAGGAAGGAGTCAGCAAGATGTAGAGCCATTTTGAATCATGTAGCTTCCAACAGCATGGGAAGGGCTCCATCCTCAAGGCTTTAAGAACTAAATTGACTTTATGCCCTTTAGTTCACTATCCCAAGGAGAAAGATCTATCTTTTCTCCTTATTCCTCTAAAGGGCAGCTGAACCCGAGGAAGGAAGGAAAGGTGTTTGTAGAGGGGAAGGATATGTTTGAAAGGGACCATAGACTGGAAACAGTTCTTCATGCATCGCCTTAAAAGGTTCACTATTTCACTTATGCAATCCTGTTTTGGCCTATATTTAATATTGTATTATGGCCGTGGCCAAAAAAAAGGTTGAGAACGGCTACATAAAGTGATCACCTCTGTGGCATCTGGCAACCAGGATGTGTTGGGTATATATAAGGCTGCCACCTGGAAAGTGCAAATACACTCTTTGGGCATAAGGTTCTCTGGGCGGTGGCTCCCCAGTAGAGGAAGTGGCCGTGGCAAGAGTTGTAGTTAGCTTGAGAACAGTGCGTGGGAGCCCATCCTAGAACTGAGAGCTTTGGTAAATCCTATTGCAAGGATGTCCTCTGCCCTTAATGAAAAAGTAACATTGGCACTTAATGGGTGGGGAGGACATCCTTCCCCATCCAGATATGGTTGGTAGCAGATGCTGTTGGAGTACTTTGTCCCCCTAAGGGGAAGCAAAGACCATCTGTACTCCTGACCCAGTATTCTACTGGCTGTTGGAGTACTTTGTCCCCCTAAGGGGGAAGCGAAGACTATCTGTACTCCTGACCCAGTATTCTACCTATTCTTGTTTTAATCTGTCATTTTGAGGCTTGGAGATAGAACTAAATTCTCTGGTTTTCCTCACTGCCAGAGGGAACAGGCAGCACAAAAAAATTGTTTTTGACTGTAAGCTGCTGCCTATCAAGGTGAGTGGCTGGGACATCCCACTGCAAGGATGTTCTTCCCCTGTATAAAAAGAAAAGCTCACAATAAGTATCAATGTTACTTTTAGTCAATACGGATTAAGTTCTCAAGTCAAGACCCCACTGTATTCTTGTTTTAATCTATCAATTTGAGGCTTGGAGATGGAACTAAATTCTCTGGTTTTCCTCACTGTCAGAGGAAACAGGCAGCACACAAAAAATGTTTTTGACTGTAAGCTGCTGCCTATCAAGGTGAGTGGCTGGGACATCCCACTGCAAGGATGTTCTTCTTCCCCTGTATAAAAAGAAAAGTTCACAGTAAGTATCGATGTTACTTTTAGTTACTAGGTTTTATACTAACTGCTAGTATTTGTATTAGAATTCTAGTATTCTTATTCTTCCTATAATTGTCTCGAAGGACAGAGGCTAAAAATAACCTTACTTAGTTCCCAAGATAAAATTGAGTGTGTTTTTATTATCTGGACTCTTTTATTGTTAATGAATTTATTGTATTAAAATGCATGCTCTCTTGTAACATTAGCTTGTTATCTATTGTGGGATGGCCCAGCCTCTTCACTTCTTTTAATCCACCATTCCAATACGGATTAATTCCTTAAGTAGAGGGTCCACTGTAGCTGTTTCAGGTTACAGAGAAGAAGTAGGCTCCAAGAACCTTTGAATGTTGAATGGCAAACTTGTGTGTTTGTAGCAATAATCAGATTAGTCATAGACACTGTCCTCAGAGGAATCAAAGCTCTTAAAAATCTGTTGAATGCTAAACAGCAGTTCTTCATAACAATATTTCCTTTGCTTCAAGAGGACTGAGAAGTGTAGCTTGTAGGCACCAACTGTGTTGTTATGAAGCAGTATTTAAGAACATGTGTGTTTGTAGCAATAATCAGATTAGTCATAGACACGGTCCTCAGAGGAATCAAAGCTCTTAAAAATCTGTTGAATGCTAAACAGCAGTTCTTCATAACAGTATTTCCTTTGCTTCAAGAAGACTGATTGAGAAGTGTAGCTTGTAAGCACCAACTGTGTTGTTATGAAGCAGTATTTAAGAACATGCTTCTCTTTAAATTGCAGGAAAAGGCTGATCTTCAGCTTAACTTGCTTCTTGGTAAGCAGTGGACCCTATACGCCGTCACTCCTCTGTACAAATTCTCTTATGGACAGATGCAGTCATATTCTAAACAGCTGAGTCTTTTCATTGCTGCTGAAAAGCAAAAAGGGCTTGCTGTGGAAGCTGAATCTGATCTTACATATATTGTGAAGTTCTCCTCAGTCCCAGCTTTGAAAACAGCAGAACATGAACAGGAATCAGTCCTCATCCAGGTAGGGAGTGTGGTGCCTAGTTTCTAATAATGTTGGGTTTGTCTTAACTTCACCGAGGGGTATTTTGCAGACAGGATAATAAAATGTCTCATATAGACTGGTATGTCACTGTTATCTGACTGTCCTCTGAAACTAACTGGATTTATTTTGAGCACCAAAAATTAAATCCACCAAAGCAACTGTGGTACAACTTTCTTGATTGCAACTCTGGAGGGTTTCCCAGCTATCCAGAGAAAGGGATGCACACAGGAGGTGTATAAGAGGCTAGACTAGGTAGGGGGACTTGCTATTTCTGCAGACGGTAAATGTTTTATCTGTGATTGCTTTCCACTGGATTGAAGCCCAAAGGTGCACAGTTCTCTTTAAGAATCATGAAAGCCTGAGGCTTGCTGGGCAGCATGTCATATGAAAAAGAAAGTGCACCCTCTTTGAATTCGATGGCTTTATTTTTGTAAAATAAATCACAACATGGTGTAATATGTCATGTATTGTTTGTTCATCTGACATATTTACCTAATTTTCATACCTGCTGAGGACCAGATAATTTTTATTATGTCCTGATATGTAAAACCATAGAATTCAAAGAGGGTGTATTTTTTCTCTCGTGACCATGTGTGCTTCCTGCATCCTTCAAGTTTCTTGAATGAAGAACAATCAGAAGGGGGGCTGGGGCAGCCTAGAGAAGATATGGACCAACTGGCACAGGAATAACCCAAAAATGCACTGGCCAAAATTATTGGCACCCTTAACTTAGTATTTGGTAGCACCTCCTTTGGAAGAAAATAACTGAAATCAATCACTTCCTGTAACCATGAATGAGTTTCTTACACCTCTCTACTGGAACTTTGGACCACTCTTCTTTTGCAGACTGCTCCAAGGCCTTCAGAAATGAAGGATGCCTTCTCCCAACTGTTGTTTTGAGATCTCTTCACAGGTGGTTCTATGGGATTCAGATCTGGACTCATTGCTGGCCATTTCAGAACTCTGCTTTGTTTGTAACCATTTCTGAGTGCTTTTTCAAGTATGTTTCGGGTCCTTGTCCTACTGGAAGACCCATGACCTCTGGTGGAGATGCAGCTTTTTGACACTGGCCACTATATTGCACCCCAAAATTCTTTGGTAAGCAGCAGATTTCATGATTCTGTTTACATAGTCAAGGCATCCAGTGCCAGAAGCAGCAAAGCAACCCCAAAACATATTTGAACCTCCACCATGTTTGACTGTACGGACTGTGTTCTTTTCTTTGAATGCCTCGTTTCTTTTTCTGTAAACAGTACCATTATGTCCTTTATCAAAAGGCTCTACTTTTGTCTCATCTGTCCACAGTACGTTCTCCCAGAAGGATTGTGGTTTTGTCACATAAGCGTTGGCATCCTCCAGTCTTGCTTTTTTATGCCTTTGTGTCAGCAGTGGTGTCCTCCTGGATCTCCTACCATAGCGTCCCTTTTCACTCAGATGGCGATGGATAGTGCGAGCTGACATTGTTGTTCCCTGTGTCTGCAGATCAGCTTGAATTTGTTGGGAAGTTAATCTGGCTTCTATATCCACCATTCAAACACCCCTTCGTTGTAATTTTTCAGTAATTTTGTTCTTCTATCCATGTCCAGGGAGGTTAGCTACAGTGCCATGGGCTGTAAATCTCTTGATATTGTGCACAGTGGACACAGGAACATTAAAATCTCTGGAGATGGACTTGTAGCCTTGAGATTGTCGATGTTTTTCCACAATTTTTTCTCAAATCCACAGACAACTCTTTACACTTCATTCTTTTCTCCATGCTCGGTGTCACACACAACACAAAGGTTGAGTCAAATTTTCTCCATCATAATTGGTTGCAACTGTTATTACTATATTGCTCACATTTCTTACTTGCAACAGGTGTATCTAAATACAAATTAAAGGAGCATCACATGCTTGAAAAGCAAGTATTTCTTACAATTTAGACAGGGTGCCAATAATTTTGACCAATGCAGTTTTGGGTTTTTGTGTGGGATTGTATCAGATTTGACTTTTCTTCTCTGTTTTTTTGTGTGTGTGTTGTTCCAATGCAAACCAAAGAAACGAACATGTGAGTACCAAAACATTTGCAACTGCAACAATTTTCTGAGAGAAGGGTTGCATTTTCTGACAGAATTGCAAAGATGCCAATATTTTTGGCCATGACTGTAACAAGTCATTGCTTGTATCCTTCACCATATGTCAGTTACATTAGCAGGTGAGCAATGAAAGATGCAAGTGACAACATGTTAACTATAGTAATTGCTGCTACAATTTACATCACTGCAGTTACACTGGTGTAACTAACTAGTAAATTTCAGAGCTGTGTTTTAAACTATTTTTATTTATTCATTCATTTATTTAATTAGCTTATATGCCGCCCACTCTACCCAAAGTTCTCTGGGCAGCTTACAACAATTAAAATACAATAAAAAAGATAAAACAATTAAAATATATACTCTGAAAATTGTCATCAGGACCCACAGTTAATATTATTTCTTGGGAGGGCATTCCATAGTCTGGGGGCAGGTGCTGAAAAGGCCCTTTGTCTACAAGCCATCCCTCTTATCTCCTCGAGGGATGGCTCTTTCAAAAGGCCCCCCCTGGCTAGATCTTAACTGCCGGGTAGGTTCATATGGAAGGAGGCGGTCCTTCAGGTATCCAGGGCCCAAGCCATTTAGGGCTTTATATGTCAAAACAAGCACTTCGAATTGGGCCCAGGCAGCAACTGGTAACCAATGTAACTTAAACAGAATCGTCTTGATATGTCCCCTAGCGGCACCACCACTCACCAGCCGCACAACTCGATTCTGGACCAGTTGCAGTCGCCGGACCGTCTTCAAAGGCAGCCCCACATAGAGCGCATTGCAGTAATCTATACGAGATGTTACCAGTGCATGTGTAACCGTCATGAGACTCTGCTTGTCCAGGTAGGGCCATAGCTGATACATTTTCCACAGCTGAAGGAAGGCGCCCCTGGCCACCGAGTCCACCTGGACTTCTAGAGTTAGACTGGGGTCCAGGAGCACCCCCAGGCTGCGGACCCTGTCCCTTAGGGGGAGTGTAACCCCATTCAAAGCAGGGAAATGGCCCTCCAGCCTGTCCAGCGAAGCACCCGCTAACAGCTCTTTCATCTTGTCTGGATTGAGTTTCAATTTATTGACCCTCATCCAGTCCATTATCAGATCCAGACAAAAGTTCAGCACAGAAACCGCCTCACTTGGGTTGGTGGAAAACGAGAGGTAGCGCTGAGTGTCGTCAGCATATTTTTATGTGTGTAATACAGGTATATGCATTGTTTAGATGTGTCCAGATGTGTTGTTTTATCCTTTTGTCATAGATCGCAGAAAGATCACAAGTTGCAGATGACAACAAAGGAGGCAAAATGGTATGGATGGGCTTATTCTGCTGTACATGTGCAAATGACATTGTGGAGAATGTAATGGAAGAATTCACTTGCTTGCCTTTGTTTCTTGTACATGGAACAAAGCGTCTCTCAGACCACGTTGAAGCCTGGCTTCAGCAGACCTTTGACTGTTGTTGCAGTCCTTTGCATATCAACCCTATCAGTCTTGCCTGGATGGTTGCAATGTGGTCAGGATACAATATGGACAGATATACAGTTGCAACAGAGCTGACGTTTTCTGTGCCTTGCACTGCTTATCCTTTGGATATCTCTTATGCTATTCATCCTGAAGATGCAAAAGCCCTTTGGGATTCAATCCAGAGCATTCAAGAGGAAGTACGGCAAGAGGAAGTAGAATTATTCATGGAGTGCCTTTACAACCACTTTCACAGACACTTCAAAATTCACCTTTCAGCCTCAAGATTGGTGAAAATTTCCACATCTGTAGCTTCTGCTCATTCTTCTGGGAAGATTAAGGTACGGAGCTAGGCTTGCTGATCAGTAGCAGCTATTGCTAAAAATAATCTGTTTTAAAGGAAATTGCAGAACAAATTATGTCAAATGATACTTGAATATTGATCATGTGCAATGCTGATGACTTCTTGCTAGGCATACATTTGTATGGAAGAGTATGCTGGAGTTGGGCATCCTGAAGGTATTTTTGGCATACGTTGATTCTTGGAAAGTTAATGACGACGTTCTCACCTTGGTTGACCCTCTCACTTGCTCCAGTAGGCAGGAATTATTTCATCAATCAACCAGATCCTGCAGGTGCCCTCTACCTATTTTGATTTTTATCTCCATTCACTTTTCCAGTGGCGTTTTCAGACCAGGACAGAAATAGCCTAGGCCCCTTGAATGTCCGTCAGGGAGATGGAGAAGATACAGGCCTTTTGCTTTCCCATGTTGGGTGGAAACCATAAGACAAGAAGCGCTATCATATGGCATCACATTGTGTCCCACAAAATGGGACTAAATACATAAGCTGTCCAGACCTCTCAGGACATTGGAGGCAAAATGAGTGGGATTTAGGGTCTGTTCAAACCGGCTGTTTTTGGTGTAGGGTGGATCAGGCTACAAAGGGGTTATTGAAGTCAGGAGGAGGATCAATGTGCCATTTGGCACACTCCTCCCATCTGAACAGCAAACACCTCTTGTAGCCTGATTAGCTGTCAATTAAGCACTTCTGTCTTCTGTTGCTCTCCGCTCCCCGGCCTATCTGATCAACAAGGGCTGGAAGCTGGCACTGGTGTTGGAGTGGTTCACGGGTTTGTTGCTTCTCCTTTTCACTTCCTGGAAGAGGCAGGAGGCCAGTTGATGTGCAAGGGAGGCTCAGAGTGGCTTGCAGCTTCACAGATGAGATTTGCCATCTGTCAGCCATTGTTGTCCTCTTCCCAGCTGACTACAGCTGCTGTGCTGGGAGTGCAGCAAAAGGTAGATTTTGAATCCCGCCAAAAGGAATGCATGCCGTAGCCCTGTGTCAGAAAGGTGTGACAGCTCTTAAAGGAGAAGGATGGATTGTTCTAAGTAGAAATACAAGCAGACATGGTCTTTCCCCACCCTGATCCAAGCAGTGCCTTCAGTGATCCATATACCATAAGTGTATGCCAGCGTGAGCAGGCTCTTAGTAGAAGGGCTGCTTACAGAGAGGTCTCAGATGCTCCTCTCCTACCACAAGCTTGTACACTGAATCCAGAGTTCCACAATTTCTGTTAAAATAATGTCATCTGATTTAGCATGTTTGATTTAAATGTTATATTCAAACATATTCAGAGTTTTTTGTGGAAATTATTTTATTGGAACATTTGTCAGAATAGAAAGCTCTGTGGCTTAGATATCTGGCTCAGGAGCCAGAGGTTGGGAGTTTGATTCCCCACTGTGCCTCCTGGGAGAAGAGTCAGCCTATGTGGCTTTGGGCAAGCTGTGCAATCCTAGCATGCTTGCAGAAGAAGGGAAGGAAGAGCAAACCATTTCTGAGTACTGTCTTTCTAGAAAATCCTGAAAAGGGTCACCAGAAGTCAGATTTGGCTTGCCAGCACAAGAGCAAACCATTTCTGAGTACTGTCTTTTTAGAAAATCCTGAAAAAGGTCACCAGAAGTCAGATTTGACTTGCCAGCACATGATTATTTTAAAGAGAATAGGATATATTTATCTTACATTTAACAAAACAAAAAACAAAAAAAAAACCACACCTGAAAGATTAACAAACAAACAAACAAACAAACAAACCACACCTGAAAGATCGCTTTTCGTTTAGGACACTTGGCTAAAGAAAGCTGTACACAGTATGTCTTATCAACATTTTAAATTTGTTTTGCTGAGGTAGAACTGCAGTACTTTCATCTTCACTCAGTCACTCTATGCACTATGTTTAGTTCTGTTTCAGGTTGAGAAAAATCTGGTTCAGTACAACTAGTTGAACATGTGGTTTCACTAAAAAATCTACAGTGGTGCCCCTCATAGCGACGTTAATCCGTTCCAGGATTAACGTCGCTATCCGGAAACATCGCTAAACGAAACATAAAACCCCATAGGAATGCATTAAACTCCATTTAATGCGTTCCTATGGGGGGAAAACTCACTGGTAAGCGAAGATTCCCCATCCGGCTGCTGAGAAAACTCACTGGTAAGCGAAGATTCCCCGTCCGGCTGCTATTTTCACCGCCTCGGTAAGCAAGAGCAGGGCACGAAAACGCTGCGGGCGGCCATTTTCTTGATCCGGCGGCCATTTTGGAACCGCCAATCAGCTGTTTTGAAAACATTGCAATGCGATAATCCATAAGTGAAACGCTTACCGATCATCGCAATGCGATGTTTAGCCTATCTGAACATCGCAATGTGATCGTAAAAACGATCGCAAAATCCGCATTGCTATGCGGATTCGTCGTTAAGCGAGGCACCACTGTATATCAAATTACAGCACCGAGATATTCCTTTACCTTTTCAAGGGCTTTCCCTCAGCCCCTTTAAAAGGGCTGACATGTTCCTTCATGGCCCTTGGTTGTTTCAGCAAGCAGAGGTGCACACTACATGTTGTTCAGCTGCCACCAGTTGATTACATTAACTTTGTTCACTATTAATAACAGAGATCTGGGCAATGTATCATTTAAAAACCAAGTTGTTGTTTAGTCGTTAGGTCGTGTTGGACTCTTTGTAACGTACTACAGTTACTTCTTCATTATGGGATCTTGATTTCTGTCCAGGCATATCTCTGATGATCTTCTGTTCCCCAGGGTAATTTGGTTGGAAAGAATACATCTGTCTGCACCAAAGAAGCTGGCAGACTGCTTTTTTGGCACCCAGTACACCTTGCCTCAGCATTATCCATTATCACAAATATTACTAGGTAAATCTGTCATTTCTCACTGATTATTAATCAGTGACTGCAGCTTCCTGTAAGTGTCCCATCCACTGTGAACCTTACTGCAATGGGGATGGGCTAGAAAATTGCTAATGGGACTCATGAGTTAGCTGACCATTCTTGAATTATATTGTGAAATGGGATATGTTCTGGGAATTAAAGTTCAGTACTGGCTTTCTAATTTTGATATAAATTCAATTGTTAATCCTAATTAAAGTAGATACAAGGAGGTGCTGATAAGTATTGAGCCTTTTCCAGAAAAAAATTGAGCTAGAAAGCTGTAACTGCCACACTATTCTACATGTTCCCCAGAAAGTCAATGCACTTGCAACATCTGTCCTGCAGCTTCTTAAGTCCCTGCAAATAAAATTCTTCTGACTGCTGGTATAACCACTCATTTGCAGCATTAGTTGCCTCCAGAACACTCCAAAATTGTTATCCCTTTAGGTGTTTTTTGAGTTTGTGGAATAGATAATAGTCAGAAGGAACCAGGTCAGGAGAATAGGGTGGATGAGGCATCACTTGAAAGCCTAAGGACATCAGTTTTGCCATTGTTTCACCTGCAGTGTGTGACGAGGCATTGTCATACAACAGGATGACACCCTTGGAGAGCTTTCCTCAACGTTTTTCCTTGATATTTTGCCTCAACTTCATCAATAAAGCACAGTAATATTTTGCATTGATGGTTGTACCCTGTTCTAGGTAGTCCACCAGCAGAACTCCCTTCTTATCCCAAAAAACTGTTGCCATTTGCTTCTGCACCGACCTTTGCACTCGGAACTTCTTTGGCCTGGGGAAACCACTGTGCCTCCATTCCTTAGACTGTTCCTTTGTCTCAGGATCATAACAGTAGATCCATGTCTCATCACCAGTTACCAGTTTGCCCAGGAAATCTGACTCATTTCTTGCAAAATGTTCCAAAACAGCCACCAATGATTCCACACGTTTCCTCTTTTGTTCGGTTGTCAAAAATTGGGGGATCCACTTTGCTGTCAGTTTTCTCATTTCCAAGCTGCTGTAGATAATGGTATCAACCCTCTCACGTGATATTCTCAGATATATAGCAATACTTTTGGCTGATATTCAGCAGTCCTCCATGATCATGTCATGGACAGCTTTCACGTTTGCAGGCACAGAGACAGAAAAAGGCCTTCCACTGGGTTTCACACTTTCAACACCAAAATGGCCAGTTTAAAAATTGACAAACCAGCGTTGAACTGTTGCATATAAAGGCCCACTGTCACCCATAGTTTGTGACATTTCATCATGGATCTGCTTTGCACCTTTCCCTTGGAGAAACAGGAACTTGATTATGGCCCTATGCTCTTCCACATTGAACTTTTCTGGAGGTGCTGCCATGTTCACTTTGGACCTGAACATGAAAAAATCATAGGTAGTTGATTTCTGCCCCGTTGAATACAGACAAATTGGCCAATACACCCTGCAATTTATAGCTTCCTCGTTCATTTTTTTTTCTGGGAAAGGCTCAAGACTTATCAGCACCCCCTCATACCAAAATGTAATCCAGTTTTTCACAATTTTTCGCAAGTGATTTTACGTTATGTTCACCCAAGTTCTACAAAGCCCTAAGAAAAGAAGTGGCAGAAGTTAGATGTGTGGAGAACAACTAAAATATCTGTTAACTGAACAAAAGATTAGAGATGATCAAATTACTTGTTTCCTCTCAGCAAGCAAACATGTGGGGAAGATTATCTAAAGTAACCCTAGTTAGGTGGCTCAAAGTTTGTGTTGCTCAGGCCTATCACAGTCCTGGTGTTTCTGTTCATAGGGAATTATCATCCATTTGATCAGGAGTATAACCATCTTTGCTCGATTGAATACCAAAGCTGCATTGGAGGAATCACCTGGAGAGTATCTACTTCATTTGTAAGATACTAACGACTAGATGTCTTTGTTTTGGCTTGAAGACTCCTTAGAGTGTAGGATACTACAGCAGGTAGTGCAGCAATAAGGATATGTGGTTATTTTTTCTTTTGGGGTGACCCATTTATTTTATTAGTTTTCTCCCATTCAGAAATGAGCTGGTCCTTTGGCACCAAGGTAAGGCTGTTCTCCACTGTAGGAGAAAGATAAGACTTGATAGTTACTATAATATATCCATTTTCTACAGTGGAAAGATGATATAGTTTCCTACCCAGAAGAAATTCTCAGAAACATGTTTGTGTGGCTTTTATCCATGATTTTGTTGTTTTTGTCCTGTCTTTTCTTGCTGGTACCAGACCTTTTTCTTATTGGATTGACAAACCCTATGTTCTCTTATTTGCTAGTGCTTCAGATGACAGTGATTTGCATCTCTCTCACACTTTTCTTCTGGATTAAGTCTACATGGGATACACAACTGCTTGAATCTGGGTTGTCTTGCCCCACTAGAGGGTACCTACAGGCCTGGGTGACTGATGCAATAAATCCTGCCTACTGAAGTGCATGGAAGGGACAACCCAGTGTATGGATGTCCTTGTTTCACTAGACTGTCCTCTGCCTGTCCTTCTCAAGGATGTCCTCTTACTTTTCCCAGTAGTATGTCACAGTTTCTCTCTTTGCCCTTCATTCCAAGGAAGGGCAGGCTTGGAAAGGTAAACAGGGGAAGGTGAACATGCATGTAAAGGCCCATTTTGTGCATACTCTTATGACCAGAGACAACAGATCACCAGTATCTGACACCTATTGTAAGAACTTTTGGCGATAGTTTCCTCAAGAACAGGACCCCTAAATAGAACGTTAATAGCAGCTTACATGTCTTCTCAACACACACAAAAATGGAATCAAAATGATCTTTGTTTTCTTTACATTATCTTGACTTAAGTTGAAAGGCTCTTAACTATAAATGTGTAAGATGATTCCTGAAATTTGAAATAATGGAAAGAAGAGGCAAGGCAGAACCTGAAATCCATATTATAACCAAACCTAGACTTTATTTGATGTTTTCAGTGTAGTGACTATACTACTTACTGTTCTGGTAAAATTCAAATCTAATATGCCCTTGTTTTATTAAACAAATACAAATTATTAGCATGTTAGATTTAGCTCCCTTTTGGGATAAAAAAGTAAAAACAAAAGCATCTGCTTTGAAGCAAGCAAAACAAAAAGTTCATCTAGATTTAGGAAGCATGTGTGCACTGTCTAGCATTTTAAAAAGGAGAAACAACTCTCACACAGGGTTTTCTAGGTATAGAGCAAGCAATCAGAAGTGGTTTACTGTTGCCTTCTCTTGAGGGCACTCTGTCCAAAGAAACTTTTCAAAGACCACATAAGGTGGCTCTTCTAAATGACACGGTGGGTGAATCTGATCCCTAGTGTTCCAGCTCATCTCTCTATTTCTGTCTAAAACTTGGCTCTCCAGGTGATGATGAACTGCTTACTCTCATTCTACCTCACCACTGGCTAGGACAGATTTCTGTATTTGGAGGACCACAGACCCAAAAGGAAATCTTAAGGCAATGAATACACAGCATTTGATTCCAAGCCCTTGAATGGGTTTGGTCTGTTTTAACTTGATAATTTTGGATACATAAAATGGGGATCATAATTGATTTTGTTTGCTTAATTGGTTTTCCTCTGAATAACCTCTATTATTGACAGCTTTAATCTGACTACAATGTATTTTTTTTCAGATTCTCCATTCCCAGTATCTCATAAGAGTCCTATCACTGCTGACAGAACTGGCAATTTCAAAGATACTGTGATGGTAAAATAACTCACATGTGGAAAATATATCTGGCACAAGAGGACTATAAAGGTGCCTTTTACATTTTTAATTATTTTCTCTAGCTCTTGACCTGCATTCTGCTTAGAAGTACCATTTTAACAGTGCAAGGAGCCAACTGTTTCTCTACCTTTGTGTTGAAATTCTTAATTTTGGGAGGAAAAATCTGTCTGAGTATATAAGAGATTTCATTAAAGAGAGTATTACACAAAGTAAGATGCAATTCCTTGATTCTGGCACCATGTAAACATTGCACAGAAGACAGGAATTGGCACAGTAACCAGTCAACTTACTCTATAAGCTATTCTGTGTATTCTGGAAAGGCTGTACTACTACAACTTTTAGACAAAAGCAGCAAAGATGGTAAGATGGCAATTGATATTTATATTAAACAGACATAAATTGTACATTTGTGAAGCATTATATGAATAGGAGTTGTAATATAATGTAATCCTGTCAGTCATGCATTCCTGTAAAATAATCTATCCTATTTGTCCATTCGGGGGTTTGCCTGAAGTTAGCTTTCTGTTCCCAGTGAGTATTCACTGGATCTTTGAGAGTTTCCTCTGTTAGATTTGTGTGTGGGGGAAGACTATGTCAATTTTGCTAATGCTGGGGGCTTCCCCAAGTCTATTGCTGCCATCATACCTGAAACATGAAGAGAAAGTGGTTTTAGGTTCCTAAAGAAAATACACCATCCAGTACAGTGGTGCCTCACATAGCGATCGCTCCGTTTTACAACGAAATCGCTTTGTGACACTGTTTTTTCGATTGCAAAAGCGATCGCTTAGCAATGTTTCCTTTGGGGAAAATTCGCTTTGCGATGATCGCGGGGAAGCGATCATCGCAAAGTGCCTGTTTTCGCACAGCTGATTGGCAGTTCCAAAATGGCCGCCCGCTGTGTTGCCTCGCTTTAGAGGCACCGAAAATGGCTGCCGCAATGGAGGATTTTCGCATAAGGTTAGTTTTTAAGCCCACAGGAACACATTAAACGCGTTTTAATATGTTTCTATGGGCTTTTTAATATCGCTTAGCGACATTTTCGTTCTGCAGCAATTTTTGCGGAATGGATTAACGTCGCTAAGCGAGGCACCACTGTATGAGGAAAAAAAGTCACTGCCTTTCCTGCTGCAGTAGAAAGAGTTTATAGAATATATTTTTTATTTTAGTAGAACGATAAAGATACTATACCTAGTTCCTAGCATTTAGAGCAATGATCTGAATTAAGTTCGTTTTAGATTAGATTTTTACTATTAAATAGTTTTGCTCCTCTGTCCGTTTATGTAGAAAGCACAAAGGTAGGTGTTGTAAGGCAGAGGTTGTCAACCCCCGGTCCGCAGCCCAGTGCCAGTCTGTGGCCTGAGCCGGACTGGGCCATGGAGACAGACATCCCCCCCGCACACACTCCCCTCCCCACAGCTGCTTCGCGTGCATGCTCCCCCACCCCTTTACACGGGCAGGCGGGCATGCATGCACTTCTGCACATGCGCGAAGCGGTAGGGGAGCACTCATGTCAGCGCTGGAACACATGTGCTCCCCACTACTTTGTGCATGCGCCTGAGAGCATGCGAGTGCCTATGCGAGCGCGGAGGTGCCATGCCTTCCTCAGAGGCTCAGCTGGTCCATGGTCCCAAAAAGGCTGGGAACTGCTGTTGTAAGGGATAGGGGAGCTCATGTTCTTCAATAACGCAGTGCTATTGTATTTTTTAAAGGAAATTTTTAAAATCACCATGTTTCCCCTAAAATAAGACAGGGTCTTATATTAATTTTTGCTCCAAAAAACCCACCCACACACATTAGGGCTTATTTTCAGGTGATTTTTTTCATGTACAATAATCTACATTTATTCAAATGTAGTCCTGTCATCTTCTGGTTGCTACACAATGGTGGAGGGCGGGGTTTCACTTAACTGGGGCTTATTTTGGGGATAGGGCTTACAGTATATCACAAGTATCCTGAAAAATCATACTAGGGCTTATTTTCAGGTTAGGTCTCATTTTCAGGGAAACAGGTAGTTCTATAAAGGCCACTGCTATTCTACAGTTCTAAATGACATCTAGCTGTATTAACCATGAGTTTCAGTTTTACATGTTCAAGGCCTTTAGCTACTGTGTATTGTACATTATTTTAAAAAAAGGAAGCCAAGGATAGCATTTTCTGAGGAAGGAGTGGTTCAGGCAAACTGAAGGGGAGACAAAAGAAAACACACACATACACACACACTGAGATTTTATTAAGGTAACTATTTACACAAGTTAACTCATGCTAGAAAAAGCATAAATGATATGTAAACAATTGTTTACAGAACACTTTTTGTTGTAAAGGTGCAAATGTTTAAATTGTAAACACAAAAGTGCCAACCATTAAGGGAAAAGGCAAGCTTTATTATCTAACATTTCCTGAAATTCTGTTTCTGTTGACTTTCCCCGCAGTCTACCCACACTGAAAATGGAATTTATAAACAAAGTTACTTTATAAGAAAGGAAATGGCAGCCTATCTGAAACTCACTTGAATGCCTCTCTCCAAAGACTGTAACCCCCAAAGCAGCCTATATGGCACTACAGAAGGAGGATGCTGTACTGTCATGGCAATGGCAAATTACAAACTGTCGTCAGCTGTTTTGAACAAGTTATGCAGGGCTGCTCTTTTCTCCCACAAGCTCCCTCAATTCAGCCACAGCACTGACACTGTTGCAATGAAAAGTTTTAAGGCGTTTTACCACCCACTGAATTTTCAGTGATGTGGTCTCATAACTAGTTATGCAAGGGAATCCATACTTTTAAACATTATTTCATTGATAGTATGGCACCTGAGGCAACCTGTCTAATTAGAAATTAATGAAGATAAATGAATTGTTGCTTTGGACAGGGTAGTTTTTCTTTCTTTAATCACAAATGACAAATTACACCTCAGATGGAAATCACTATACTAGAGTCACACTAGTTCAGGCCCCCAGTATACTTACATTGGGCCAAAGTAGCTTATGAGTCTAAGAAGTTTTTAAATGGCACAGCCAACCAGGTTTTTTTTTGCAGAAGAGTCACTGAAATGAACAGGAGCAACATAGGTGCTTCAATGTTTTTGCACTGCCTCTGTTCAGTTCTGAACAGCATGTGCAGAAGAACTTTCTCAGAGATTAAGCCCAAAGCTTGTAACTTTACTCCTTATGCCAATAATGAAATTATACACTTTTAAGTCTGCTGCTCTTACTGCACAGATCAACACTGAAGTCTATGTATTAGACACCTCTGTGGGTTTCCCCCCCCAAATATATTCACTATGATCCAGACACCCACAGCCATCTAGAATGTCATACATGTGTATTCATGTAACCTGGGGGGGGGGAATAAAAACATAGTATAAAAATATGTGTAGGGATCCTTCAGTCTTGAGAACCTATGATAACGTGCTGTGTATGGAGGACTTGGAACAGCGTCTAGTGTGGCTGAGAAGGCCAATTCGAGAGTGACAATCCCTTCCACAGTGAACACAAAAACAATCTGTCCCCTGTCAGGCTCCCTGATTTTGCTGTGTTCGGGACTGCCTCTTTGCCTCGGCCTTCTGGACAAGGGTCTCTTCAAATTGGGAGAGGCTATGATGCAACGCCTGCCTCCAGACTGAACGCTCAGATGTCAGAGTTCCCCATCTATTGAGGTCCATTCCTAAGGCCTTCAGATCCCGCCTGCAGATATCCTTGTATCACAGCTGTGGTCTCCCTCTGGGGTGATTTCCCTGCACTAATTCTCCATACAGGAGATCTTTTGGAATCCGACCATCAGCCATTCTCACTACAAGCCAAAGCCAAAAATGCATCGGAGGCAACGCATATGGAAGGTGTTCAGCTTCCTCTCCTGCTGTGCACAAAGGGTCCAGGACTCTCTGCAGTACAGGAGTGTGCTCAGGACACAGGCACTATAGACCTGGATCTTGGTATATGCCGTCAGCTTATTAAGCCGTACTCTTTGTGAGTCCAGAGAACATGGTAGCTCCTTTGCCAATGCGTTTATCCAGATCGACATCTAGGGAGAGAGTGTCAAGAGATCATTGAGGCAAGGTACACAAAGTCATGAACAACCTCCAATTCTTGTGTGGAGATAGTAATAGAGGGAGGTGAGTCCACGCCCTGGCCCATAACTTGTGTTTTCTTCAGGTTGATTGTTAGTCCAAAGTCTTGGCAGGCCTCGCTAAAACGGTTCATGTGTTGTTGGAGGTCTTCACCAGAGTGGACAACAATGGCTGCATCATTGGCAAAGAGGAAGGCTTGTATGCATTTCAGTTGGACTTTGGTCTTTGCTCTTAATCTAGTGATTAAAAAGCATTCTATCTGATCTAGTCCGGCGATAGACCCCTTCTATTGCAGTTCCAAAGGCATGCTTCAGCATGACAACAAAAAAGATCCCAAACAGGGTTGGCCCGAGGACACAGCCCTGTTTCACTCTGCTTTGGATGTCAAAGGGATCTGATGTTGAGCCATGAAAAACTACAGTGCCCTTCATTTCCTCATGAAAGGACTTGATGTTAAGGACTTCAGGTGGACATCCAATCTTGGGAAGTATTTTAAAAAGGTCATCCCTGCTAACGAAATCAAAGGCCTTTGTGAGATCTATGAAGATCACAAAGAGTGGCTGTCGTTGTTCCCTACATTTCTCCTGCAACTGTCTGAGGGGAAAATACCATGTCAGTGGTGGATCTATTAGCTCAAAATCCACACTGTGATTCTGGATAGTCTCTGTCTGCAAGCACCTGGAGTCTCTTCAGCACAACACAGGCAAGCAGCTTCCATACAACGCTGAGAAAAGAGATGCCACAGTAGTTACTGCAGTCGCCTTTGTCTCCTTTGTTCTTATACAATGTGACAATGTTTGCATCCTTCATGTCCTGTGGTACTCCACCTTCCCTCCAGCAAAGACAAAAGACTACATATAGCTCGGTTGTGATGATCTCTTAACAGCACTTCAACAGGGATGTTATCTGTCCCAGGTGCCTTGCTGGAGGCGAGGGAATCTAAGGCCGCTTTTATTTCTGCTAAAGTTGGTTTGCTATTCAATTCTTCCAAGATAGGCAGGCACTCAATGTTATTTCATGCCTCTTTGGTTACTACATTCTCTCTGGAATACAGTGGACCCTCTACTTACGGAATGAATCCGTATTGGAACGGTGGCTGCAAGTCGAAAAGTCTGTAGGTCGAATCTCCATTGACCTACAATGCATTGAAAACTGATTAATCCCATAACTGGCAGTTTTTATTCTATTTTTGTTCCATTTTGGTTTTTTCTTCTGTATTGGGCTTAAAGCCTGCTTAATACCGTCATACATTCCCTTAACGTTACCACTCGAAAAGTCTGTAAGTCGAGCCGTCTGTAATTTGAGGGTCCACTGTATAGCTCAGAGTAGTGCTGCACCCAGCATTCCATCTGCTGTGTCAGTCCTGGATGATCATGCCTGTAGCAGACTTCAAGGGAGCAGATTTCTTCTGTATTGGGCTTAAAGCCTGCTTGATACCGTCATACATTCCCTTAACGTTACTGGTGTCCGCTGCTATCTGTATATGAGAACAGAGCTGAAGCCAATAATCGTTGGAACATCTCCTGGCAGCCTGTTGGACTTGGCTATGAGCAGCTCGAAGAGCCTGCAAGTTGTACTCACTAGGACAGGCTTTGTATACCGCTAGAACTTTCCTCTTATCCTCAGTGGCTGGCAACTCCTCCGAAGGGGCTTCAAACAAGTGGGCCGTCTTTTTGGTCTTCTTGCTAAATGTGGACAAGGTGGTGTTATAAACAGCGTTCTTGAAATGTTCCCGTCATTCAGGTGCATTTGCATCAGCCAGGCCTGGAAGGGTTTCCTCAAGCGCTTTGGCAAATTACTCCACCTTTCTTTGATCACGAGTCGTGCTGATGTCAATACGTGGTCTTCCTTCTTTTTTCATGTGATACAATCTCTTTGTTTAGTTTTACTCTACAACACAGTAGGGAGTGATCAGTATCGCAATCAGCTCTCTGGTAACTGTGCGTGATCATAATACTAGGAAGGCTAGAACATCTAGTGAGGATCAAATTGAGCTGATGCCAATGTTTGGATCTTGGATGTCTCCGGGAAACTCTGTGTTGAGGCTTCGTATTGAAGAACATGTTGCTGACACAACAACCATAAAAACAGCAAAACTCCAGCAAGCGTTGGCCATTTTCATTCATCTTCCCAATGCCAAAACAGCCTAGACAAGTGGGCCAAGAATTGTGATCAGCACCAACTCTAGCGTTAAAGTCTCCAAGAATGAACAGTGGCTCTCTCAGGGACTTTTTTGATAATAGCTGCCAGATCGTATAAAAATATATGGTACAAATTAAATAGAACAAGTCTCAGTATACAGAAAATTTCCTGTAAAATGCAGTCTTTGTACAATATTTATTTTAAGAAAAATTCACCAACAGCATCTTCCGCCCAAACTCTATTGCCACGAATGAGGTCTGTATAAATTCAGTTCATTTCAACTGGGTGGGTTCAGAAGGTGATCCTGTTTGGCTCCATCCTCTTTTTAAACTAGGCAAATTAAATCTTCAGAAACATTATTTGACCATGACAGATCCTTCTCTGTGGGCTTCTTTGTTTGATGGAACACATGCACACCTTGAGGAAGAGGTCACTGCTTAGAGTAATATTAAATTCTGGGTTCTTCAGAGAGATCATAAAATGGAGATGAGGAGACAAAGACAAGGAAAATGGTGTGTTCCAGGTAGTTTCCTGGACTGACTAGTGTGGTCTTCTGTAACCACAGTAGAGGAGGGGATATATGTTTGCAACATCCACTGTAGTTGAAGAGGAAGAGGCACGGAAGAGGCACCAGCAAGGAGTGTTCAGTGTGATTGTATTTTACTAGAACCTCCAAAAAGTCAGAAGTCCCCAAGCTGACCTATTTCAATAGGAGTGTACACAAAGGGGAATTTCTCCCATTGGGCTTTTACCATATATGGGATTCACAATGTGTCATTTTGATAACTCCCACACCACCTCCAAGCCGACGATAGTTCATTCCTCCATAGAGTCTGTAAAAATAAAGGTACAGTAACGTTTATTATTCCAATTTAACTATTATTCCTACAGAATACAAAGTACAAAAGCCAAAGAATGCTAACTGGAGGGGGACTCAAAATGAATATATAGGAATATACATGCAGTGGCCAAATAGGAGGAAATATCTCATATTTCAATAGCCATTCAGTTTAAATAGCTGTAACCAGTTTTCTCCTTTTGAAAAGCACATTCATTTCCTTATTCTGAGTCGTGTCAAAGGAAAAATGAAATTATTTTCAGTTTGGACAGTTTTCAGTTTTAACCATTGGTGGAGCCACAGGATTTATAGTATGCCTTGCCTTTTTTTGTTTAAAAAATCCACTTCCTTATGGAAGTTCTCTGTATTAAAAAAGTGAAGCAGGAGTCTAGCCACAAAAAAGTTGGTTCAAACAGAAAATGTTACAACTGCTCGTGTAAGCCGCCTAGAGTGGTCCTAGTAACCAGATAGGCGGGTATGAATGAATGAATGAATGAATGAATAAATGAATAAATAAATGAATAAATAAATAAATTAAAAAATTGACTCTTCAAGCATCTCAGCTTTTATTTTCCACACTATGTTGTAATATGGTGAACAACCCTTCCTAAGCTTCTGCAAAGGCACGCATAAGATTAGACTACAATGCAAGTGTGTATTACAACGCAAGTACCGGGTGATACTACTGAAGTGAAAGAAGTCAAGTGAGTTTGCAGAACTGAGCATTTCTTGATACAGAATTTGAAGGACCTTAGAAAAATGTAGTTATGTTTTAGAGCCTGTATTACATTGAAAACTCTTGGCTGGACATGGGGAGGAATAAAAAAAACAGGTCGTGATATTCATAAAAATTGCTGATTCGTTAAATAGTTATCCCTTCATATTTGTCAGTTCCAGAGAGTATTGGGACGAATATTGCCCCATTTGCATTCAAAAATACGAAGGGACGAATATTGCCCCATTTGCATTCATCCCCCATAGGACGAATTCCTTCCTATGGCCTTCCCATTCTGCATATGGGCCTGCCGATCAGTTGACCGATAGGCAGCCACCCAACCCCCCCACAGCCTATCCCCTGCCCCCTTCCTCTCCCTACCTTAGTTGCTGCCACCATCCGGCACCACTGTCATCCATCGCTGCCCACTGCAGTGGCCTCTGCAGCCAGGGCCGGCAGTAAGGGACACTGGCTGCCCTTTGCAAAGATGGTGGTTG